CCCCCGGAGTTACGAAACATCCAAGACTTACGCATATTCCGCCGTGCCCTGAAAACATTTCTATTCCAACAAGCTGGTCTGGCCTAACTCTCCCTTTTTAATTGGCTTTTAAACTGGCTTTTAAATTGGGTTTTAAACCTCTTTAGATAAATTTGGATGTTTTTAATCTTTGAGCCTAAATTACTTAATCTGTTTTCTTAATAGTTTTTAACTTCTATATGTATTTGTATTTATTATGGCTGTTCACCACCCTGAGTCCTTCGGGAGTAGGGCGGTATACAAATATGAAAAATAAATAAATAAATAAATAAATAAATAAATAAATAAATAAATAAATAATAAATAAATAAATAAATAAATAAATAAATAAATAATGAACTAGTTGGCCCAAGATAAAGAGGATAAAATGGATCTTCCTTCTGAACCAATAAATATTTTAAAATACAGATATAGCTAATAATAAACAAATAATGCAAACTAGGAAGTTAACCAAACTACATTATTCCTATTGTCTGTTGTTATATTACCTTTCAGCCCACACAAACTCACTCTAATTTTAATTCCAAAATATACTTGAGTAAAATTGAAAGGAAAACATGTAATATTATGCAAAATATTACAGACAGAAAAATCAGTAGTCCAGATGAAAAAATAACAAAATGCACACCAAAAATACTCTATTTTAAATGCATTTTCTCATTATTGTAGACAACAACTGAGTAAAACCAGCAATTATATGTAATTTGTTTGTGAAAAAAAAGGAAAACGATTTCCCCAATCTGGCTGTACTTATACTAACCTTCAAAAAAGCTGGAAGTAGTCTCCATTTTTCCTGAAAACAAAAGTACATCAAAACAGTAAAATATGTGAAACACAAATTCCAAGAAAAATATTTTATTTTTAAAAAAATCAATAGTTTTATAATTATTGTTTTATCCATAGTGATACGTACTAAGATATATTTATTACAACATGTATCTAGAACAGGGATGTCAAACTCCCGGCCCACGGGCCGGATGCATCACGTGCTGGCCCTACCGCCACCCAGTTTACTGAAGGGGAAAAAAAGTCCCGATATGTCACGTGCCACATGACGATGCAAATTTGACACCCCTGATCTAGAAAGTCTACTAGAACGTTTTGATTTAGATGAATGAATACTAGTACATAATACTTCAAGTTTAGTTCATTTATATTTTATTTTTTATTCCACGGAATTTAAGAAGATTTGGACTTCCTAACAGATCTATCATTCAGATTTTCCATAAATTTAGAATTCTTTATTTAGTAAGGTGGGTAGGGATCTTCAAAACCAGGCTACTTTAGCAAACAGGTTAAATCATGGCCTTAAAGCCAATGTAGATATAAGATGATCTTGTTTATCATACAATAGCTAACAGATTATTGTGAATAAGCTAGTATACTGGGACTCACAAATGGTTGCCATAGTCATACATGTTAAGGCTTTTGTTTTACTGAATGATTTTTTATTAACCAATGGCAGAAGTAAAATTTCTGTCTCTGAATGAACTAGCATGTTGAACTCCAATTCTTGGTTATTTCTAAATGGCTTCTGCTGTCAAACAGAAGGCTAAATAAAACATGGAGGATATCATGAACCCAAACCAGAAATACTGGCTAGAATCAGAAACCTAAAATCAAGCCAAAGTGATTAAGCAACATACTCATTCTTAGTAAACCAAAATTCTTGGAAACTTTGGCTTACTTCGGCAAATCAAGTCTCCCATTAGATTCTTCCATTATTGCTTCTATTAATGATCTACTACTATACCATTGATGTCTTTTATTTTGGTAGGAATTTGTCAAGAAAGATCACAGGTAAAGTGCACATAGGCGAGAGATGCACAAGCACTTAAAGTTATTGAAGAATCCATGAGCATCTTTCTTCAGTGGTGGAACAAAGCTGCTCTGATCAAACACAAAATAGCAACACACTCCAACAACTGTTGGAGCAACAGCTGTTTTATCTGGGCTTCCTCAAGCTTCAACAAAGTCAAGTTTCCAGAACTTCCGAGATTATATATATATAATCTCAGAATATTATATATATATAATGAAACTGTAACCAGAAGCCTCTAAAACTACATTTACACATTCTTTTTTTTTTTGTCAGCAAGTTTAAAAAGCTTCAAGTTCCACAATCGCTTTCTGTTTTTGATCCCGCTGCTTTCACTCACCTCCACCGTATTTACAGGAGCCGCCGCTTGCTCGGGAGTAAAAGCTCCCAACTCTGCTGCATCCATGCTGCAGAACGTTCCCTTTGCAGACCCAGCGCTTCCTGGGTATAGCGCATGCGTGTATCCTTGAAATCGGTCCCCTCTGCAACTCACCAACTGAAACGAAGTTCCGTCCAATGCGCTACTAAAAAAGCTTAGCTGTCGTTAAGAAAATGTAACCGCTTGATCAGAATTAGATGTTTGCTGTTGTCCGTGGGTGTAATTCAGGCTCCTTGGACGAAACTGTCTCACCAAGAGCAAAGCTTATTTACGCTATACTAGAGGTCTTCAAACTTGGCAGCTTTAAGACTTGTGGACTTCAACTCCCATAATTCTCCAGCCAGCATAGTATAGCTGCCCTATACTAATCCCCCCAGCCCACTATTTTTCACTGTAAAGAAATTAAACAGGTAAGTCAAAAGAATTAGAAACAGTGCTTCGTACAAAACATCCTTTAGGGCAGTGTCTCTCAAACTTGGCAACTTTTTAAGTTGTGTGGACTTTGATTCAGTTTGGCTGGGGAATTCTGGGACTTGAGGTCCCTGCATCTTAAAAGTCACTAAGTTTGACAAACATTGTTTTGGAGTTTAAATGTATGTGCGAGTTCTATGTGACACATAATACCCAGGCTTTATTTATTTCATAAATATTAAGAGTCTATCTATAGGCTTCCTTCAGAAATGTAAAAAGATGTACCAACCATGTCTGAATGCAAAAATCTAAAGAACCACTAGCAGAGAGTTAAGCATATTATGTGTTTCTATGTGCTATCAGCTGGTTGCCTGGATTGTTGAATCTCAGTTATATTATGCATATAAAGTGCATAATCCTGCAAAGAGGTTAGTCAGACTGATTAGCCAAAGGCACCAAAGGATTGAGTTGTACAATGTCCTGTGCCATATGATGTGGCATATAAAGTAGCAAATCCATATTCCTTGATGTATGCATTAATAAAGTTCAGCATTTTTATCCACTTTATAAAGTTGTAAATTTATTTTAGAGATTAAAATATAACCATTAAAATAGCTGGCACATTTATTTCTAAGCCCCCTCTAAATCCATTGAAATTAGTTTTGTGCATGGATTGAGTGTGGTCAGATTCAGACATTATTTTAAAGGAGCTGCAATATTTCAGGGAATCAGTTTTCCTCTTTGCAACATTTCCACATCGGTATACATCCACTATATATCTATTTTCCCCTTACATCTATATAGCTATACATGTGGTTCCATTATCTTTTATACATATTAACATATTAACATACTAATTTATAAACATACATTTTTGTCATATATATTTATACAGATTTATTACTATTTTCTAACTCCTAAGTCTTCTTTCTATGATACTTTCTTAGTTTTTGCACCTATCCTCTACCATTCATTCCATACCAAATAATATTCCGTTTCCCCCTTTCTTTTATTTCTTTTGTCAGTCTATCCACGGACAAAAAGTGCGCTATCTCAGCGCACTTTAGCACTTTTCTTATCACACTTTCCTCTGATGGTATAGTATTATTCTTCCAGTTTTGTGCATACACAATTCTGGCTCCAGTTATGACATGTAATATTAAATATTAATATTAAATATTAAACATGTAATATTAAATAGTAAATACAATTACAATACAAAAACATGTAATATTAAATATTAAACATGTAATATTAAATATTAAATACAATAATATTAAATATTGTATTTTTTCATCGTAATTTTCTGTGAGTATGCCTAATAGGAATAATTCCAGTTTCAATTTTATATTTTGCCTGATTATCTCCTTGAGCCACTTTCTTATTCTTATCCAATATTTTTTCGCTACTGCACACGTCCACCACATATGGTAGTATGTTCCCTGGGCCTGTTTGCATTACCAGCAATCCGGTGATCTGTTCGAGAACATTTTTGCTAATCTCGCTGGGGGTAGGTGCCATCGGTAAAACATTTTATATAGAGTTTTTTTCCCAGAGTTTCTCCTATTTCTCTAATTCTATGTTATATCTGAAATTTTTTACCCAGGTTAGCATAACTTCTTTAACTACTTCCTCTTCCATTCTAAATCGCAATAGGTAATTGTATATTTTACTGATCAGTTTTTCTTCTGTCCCTTGTAACATCTTGTCCAATTCTTTTGGTTCTTTGTGAAATCCGAATTCTGAGTCTTTCTTATATCTGGTCTGGATCTGCATATATGGCCATCAATCAGTGTCTATTCCGTTTTTTTTAGTTCTTGTTTCATTTTTAGTTTCCCCTGGTCATTTAACAGGTCTTTATATCTTATTATTTTACTATCTAATACATTTCTGTAAATTAATGCTTCCATAGTTGATAACCAGGTTGGTATTTTATTGTAGTGGTTCTTTTCAATTTTTTGCCATATTTGTAGTAAAGCGTTTCTAATTTGGTGTCTCTGAAAGTAACTATGTGTTTTGTTTTTCCCATTCCATATGAATGCATGCCAGCCTATTTCTAAGTCATGTCCTTCTAAAGTCAAAATTCTTTTATTTTTTAGATCTATCCAATCTTTAATCCATGTGAGCGCTGCTGCCTGGTAATACATCTCCCAATCTGGGAGCCCGAAACCTCCTTTCTCTTTGCTATCCTGTAGTAATTTTAATTTAATACGTGGTTTTTTCCCCCAGCCAAATGAATGTTGTTGTTAGTTTATTTGGTTCTTCAAAAAAGTTTTTTCCTAGGTTTATTGGTACTACTTGAAATAATAACTACTTGTTAAGTTGGGCGAGTGAGGAGACAGGAGACAGGTCTGTGTGGACAACAGCTCTTTATTTCACAGTGACAAATCCAGCAAATGTGCAACAAGATAGCTCCCTTTATATAGTATGTTGGCCAGGGGGCCAGTCAATCAACATCGTGTTTTCCCTCCAAAATTTCCCCCCAAAACTGCAAATTTTTATAATAACAATAAAATAGAAGTTCTGTTGTATGCAATCTGCAGTTGACTTATTTCTAGTTTCAGTCTCAGTGTGGTAATTTCAAGTTTATTTTTTACTTGCAAGATTTGTCTTTTGCTTTTTCTCCAGGATCTTAAAAGTACCTTAATAGTACTCCATCCTCTATTTTCCCCCTCAGTAACAACCTTGTGAAATAGGTCTAAGAATGATTGGCTCAATCACCCGCCAAGCATCCATAGCTAATCAGGTACAATTGAATCTGAGCCTCTGCAGTCCATCAAGTCCTCTGTTTCCTTCACAGCCAAATCTTCAACTTTTTTAGTTGAGTATATTATAGAGACGCAATTTGTCTGATATCAAGTAAGCAAAAACCAAGAGGTTTAAGCTTGAAATGGGCAGCTGGGCCTGGCATAAAGAAGCAAATAGTATAATCTGAAGTATGTTGGATATCTATGCTAAGTGATTGTCAGTTGCCATGTACATAGGCATCATTAATACATCTCAACATGTTCCAGATGCTGACTAAAACAGTATAGCCTAATTTAATGGCTCTGATACAGTTTTTATTGCCATGTCCCTTGTTTTCCTTCTTCCCCGCTTCCCCTTGCCACTAAGGATTGTTGTTACCCTTAAACTATCTACTCGAAATATCAAAAATTACTATACATTCAGCAACCATCTATGCTGCTGTCTTCATGTTTTTGTATTTATACATTAAAATGAGAGAGAATCTGCACACATTTTAAATGAAACCAAATTTAATAATACATTTAAGACAAAAACCACTTAATAAACCAATTACATACATATCTAACTTTAGCCAAATGAAGTAAATGTACTTCAATAATATCAGTAAGTAACATGCAAGAGAAACAACTGTACTTAACCAAGCATTCTGAACATTAAAGGGATTATGAAGGTTAGTTGTGAGATATTCAAAAACAGTTGAATGGACATACGTATCATGCTATATTAAAATGCCCGTTTCATTTATAAAAACCACACAGTATCTTCTGCATGAACATTGTACAATATAGGTAGGCTAGATTCATACACTTAATTGCAATTAATATCCACTGAAATAAATGGGACTTGTTCCATTTAACTAGTTCCCATTGTTTTAAATGGTATCCAGGTTAAACTAATTTAGATCTAACCCTCTAGGTAAATTAAAAATTTATGAAGACATATATTCACTACTTGATTACTATACATAATGTAAAATGCTTAAAAACAGAACATATATACACCATAACATGATTACAGAAAGGTTTTTTAGTAGATATTATAACTTCACAAACTTACCAAAGTACGTATAGGTCCAAAATATTTTATACTTTTAAAATTTCAAGGTTAAGAATTAGATAATTGCATTTTCAGTACATGGCATGGGTTAGTAAAGTATAGCCCTCCATTTGTTGAGCTACAGTTTTTAACACCTTAGCTAATATGACCAACATATAGGATGCTAGAAGTTATAGTACTGCATCAGAGGGCCACAGTTTATTCACTATATTAGGTATTCACATATTTACTTCTTGATACAAGTCACTAGTGTCAACAAATATTGTGTCTCAATACTTCCTTTAGCGTCTCAATACTTCCTTTAGCCATATAAATATTTTAATCTTCTCTCACATCCTGTCTTCTCAAACCTGCTACAATTTGTTTAGAAAAATGAAAGGTAGAATATTGAGAGCAAGGGATATCAGAACAAGGAAGATCTTCTAAAAAACATTTAAGATACTGAGCAGTTTAAGAAAATTGCTCTGTAAAACTAAAGTTGGCTGTCATAAGCACGTCTGGATTGCTGAACAAATATTTATCACAAAAAGTTATTTTGTTCAAACCCATGTGGAATTGACATGTATGAATAAAAATGGTTCTCTCCTCCAAAATATCCTAGCAATATATATTTGAGATTTTTTTACAAAAAGAATTCATATCAATCTTCCTTAATCTGAAATCTCTTTGATCTTGTAAGAGATTCTAACTTTCAGAACTCCTTGCTTGTCACCAAGTTGATGGGCTGAGGTACCCAGTCCTATTTCTGTAGGAACAATTACCTATGTATCAGCAGTTGTTTTAAACATTAAGGTCCTTCTTGAAAGTCTTTGTGACAATCACTTCAGAAGTATCATATGGTAAGGGTAGAAATGGGAAGGCCTGGAAAAAAACTAGAAAAATTGGGAAGAAAACAGGTTTTTTTTCCAAAGCCATTTTTTCCAGAAAATTTAAAGAAAAAAAAGGAGTGTGGAATATGTTTTTTTCCAATGATAATTAATATATCTATGACATGGTATTCAACCTATATAACATGAAGGCCTTAATGAGAGATTTCTGAGACTTTTTGTAAAGTCTTAAATTATTGCAAGTTCTCTCAGCTGAAGACAAGCAAATTCTAGAATACAATTCAAGTAACACTGTACTTCTCAATGCAGTTCTCAAACAAGAGAAATATGCATTTGTGCCACTAGGAGAGTACTGCAGAGGAAAGACTCCAATTTAGTTTACTTATGTACCTCGGATCTCCTACAGTTGAGTAATTTTTGGTATACAGTAGAATCTACTGAGTAGATGATAGTTTGTCTTCCTTTCAGGCCTTAACTGACTGGTCAGAGGAAAAAATTGTCTGACAAATTCGTTTCCCTTTTGTAACCCTTAAATGATTCCTCTTAATGTTCTCCACCATCACACAATGATGTTTTCCTATAGTCTAGTCAGTAAATTGCTTTTTCTTTTCCTTCTCTCAGTAAAATGGTGATAGTTTGGAAACATTTCCACAGTGCAATTTCTGCTGAGAGCAAAGCTGCAATTTGCAAATAAGAGTGAGAAAAAATATACTTTTCCAAATGCTACAAGGATGACAAAATGCATCCTTGCAGGCTAGAGGTGCCCTAAAAACATTAAAGAATACTTTATGGAATTAAATGATGAGGACCAGAATGAAAGTGCATGTTGCTTTTCCTTCCAGAGTTCTAATTCCAGAAACACTCTTTCTGCTGCTTCTGGATCATCACAAAGTGTTTCTTCACTAGCAGCCTCTTCACGTAAGGAAGTGTTGCAAACCACTGCCTCAATACCTTCATTTATAGATAAAATGACACCTGAAAATCAGAAGAAAATTGATCACGCTCTTGCAAGAGCAATATATGCTTCTGGATCAGCTTTGTCAATAACAGAAAATGGCAGGAAACTTTTAAATTATTACGACCATACCATTTGCCAAGCGGACATTTCCTTGGGCAAGCCTCTTTTGGAGTCAGAATATGAGCGTGTGATGGAATCTGTACAAGGAAAATTAAGTGAAGCACTATGTCTTGCAGTACTTACACATGGACAAATGTTCGGGGAGAAGGAATCATCAACTTTCTGATAACAATACCTCAACCAGTCTTTTATAGAAGCATTGAAACTGGAGAGAACAGATACTGCAGAGTGCATCAGCAGTGAAATATGCAATTTTAGAGAAAATTGAGAGTGGTAAAAGTATTTGCTTTGCTGACAATGCAAGCAATATGAAAGCTGGATGGGAAATCATAATGGACAAGTATCCACACATTACTGCAATAGGATGTGCATCTCATAGACTAAACTTACTTCTTAGTGACCTCATGAAACTGGACACCCTTCAAAGGATTTATAGAAGAGCTAAAGAAGCTATCAAATATGTAAAAGCTACTCATGTTGTCACTGCAGTCTTCAAGCAGCAGCAAGAAGAAAAATGCACAGAATAAAATAGGGATACTGAAGCACTGTAGTAAAACATGTTGGGGTAGAGTGGTGATCCCCTTTGAAAGTTTATTAAAAGACAAAGAAGCTCTTCAAGCAATCGAGGAGCTTAAAATTCCCAGAAATATGTGCTTGATGAGGATGTGTTTTGGGTTCAGCTGCAGAACTCCCTATAGATTTTAATGCCATTTTTTCCAGCAATCTCTGCATCTGAATCAGGCACTGCACTTTTGTCAGAAATTCCTAACCACATGGCTCTGACAAAAACATCCGTTTTTGAAAATCTAAGCGCATCTCCACTTACAAGTGCTGAAAAAAGTAAAGTGAAAGGTTTTATTAAGAAATGGGAAGAATGTTGTTGCCATCCAATATATGCTGCTACAAATCTACTGGATCCAAGATTCAAAGGCAGTGTGGTGTGAGTGATGAGAATACAGCTGCTGCATTTGACTAGATTATGAAACAAGCTGGGCACGTAGGACTTGATGTTGGAAAAGTATTTTCAAATGTTGCAGAATACAGAACATCTTCAGGGAATTGGGCCAGGAATGCATTCTGGGATGCTACAAAATATATCCCTCCTGCAACATGGTGGCAAGGTCTCTACACCACACAACCTCTTGCATCTCGCTTACTGCAGATTCCTGCATCTTCTGCTGCATGTGAAAGAATCTGGTCTATGTTTGGTAATATTCACACCAATTCAAGAAACAGACTGACCTGTGAAAGGGTAGAAAAGCTTGTTTCAATCCGTGCAGCCCTAAAGATTTTAGAAGTCCATGAGAAAAATGATGAAGAGGAAGAAGAAATTGAAAATAGTAGTAGTTTAGAAAATGAGATAGAATAAACTGCACATATATGTTGTGTCTTCTGTTTGGTTTTTTTTAAACGCCACTCAAAAGGTAAACCTATGGAGCTTAAATACTAAGGTGGACCTTAACTTTATTTGCTATGGGTGTTAAGGGGCAAATCTGATTATTTTTTTATGTTGATGGTTTCTTGCTTTTTTTTTGTTGCTTTTGAGGGAAAGGGGAGGGGTTACCTGTTTTATTGCAAGCATGATACTTTTATATATACTGCATTTCATGCAATTTATAAAACTATTCCACACTGAACTTTTTTTTTCAATTATTCAAAAATTTATATTTTTTCTAGATAAAACGGGGGGAAACGTTTTTTTTTTCTCATGGCTTTAAAATTTCCGGAAATTTTACATCTCTAGGTAAGATGTTATGCCCAAAATGATAACTCAATTTTTATTAGAAAAAAAGCAAGTAAAATATCAACTGCGACTATTTAGTAACATAAATCTGCAAAAGGTGCCCAACTGAACATGTTTAGCATTTGCTATTTAATACCATACATTTGTCTTCTTCAGCTTTCCATTTTCAAATTCTGATTCATGTTGGTATTAAACAGAGACTTATATGTTCAATGTATTTTAATCCTTCAATAAGTTGAGAAAAATAATATATATATAGCTTGCATATAATACAGCAAGTTGTTAAGCATGAGTTAAAATATCATGACTTACCTTTTAAAAAAAGGAATTATTCTTCCAAGTGAAATCAGAGGCTACTAAATTCTAAGCAACTCGTACTGATTATGAAGACTGCATACATTAAAAGCTCAAAACAGGAAACAATCTTGAACAAATTTGACACATGATCTTCCCTATCATCTCACTTGTGAGAAGAGAGAAATGGGGGGGAGGGCAGGGTTCCTTGAGCAATCCATTTTGGGTAAAGGCAGAAGGCAAATGCCCTAACAATGATTTCAGATCAAATCTGAAATATACTTTTTATATTATTGCACCATAATCATTTGCATAAGCATATTAAACATTTAAGAGATTTATATTACTGTAGGCATTTATCATACATGTCTGAAATATTTGTGTAAGAAAAAGAAAAATACAGTAAATAAGTGCCACATGTTATAATCCATAGCTACAAACAGAATTAATCCTTTCAAAAGTTACCTTTTTAAAATGTAGCAATTGCTTTAATTTGGAGGGAACTTTTTATTTATTTGACTGTAATCTGTATAATATAAACACATTTCTCTCTGTCTCACATTAACAGTCATCACTGCAAGCTATGCATAGTCAAAAGAAAAATGCAGATCACAATATAAATATTGTGAAAAAGAGGGACCAAAAAAGAAGCTGTACATATTTCAGTTGGTAGAAGTCTCAACTTCGGCTTTGTTTGTTTCTGTCTCATTGTACAGCAGTTTTCGAAAGATACTTGCATAGAATGGTCCATAAACCTGTTTATTAAGGTTAACAATGCTAGCATACTGCGAGCCAATAGTCTCTATCTCTTTCTGAATCACACCAAGACCTCCAGGAACTGTAGGCATAGATTTTTGAAAGCATGGAGAAGCAAGCAATGCACTTTTCATGTACAAATGAATTCGTTTACCTGAAAAAGAAAAAAAATACCCACACATATATGTATAATTAGACTTCCTGGCATTATTTAGAACAGCATTAATTTCTCATGAGGAATAAAAACTGATCAACTAACATGATTAACTGCAAAGCATTCACACATCAAAAAAGACAGTGTGGCTATATAGATACCGTAGCACCCTGACTGATACTGATGCATTAGAAGTTGACATCTAATCCAGTGGTGGGATTCTGCCAGTTCTAGGCGGTTCGGCGAACAGTTTGTTAAATTGCTGGCTCACCCCACCCCTTGCCCCACCCCTCTGCACCACTATTTATTGCCAATGAATAGTGGGGGGCGGGGCGGGGCGAGCGAGCCAGCAATTTAACAAACGGTTCAGTGGTTTTTTGTAATTTATTGGCCTCGCAGCACACCGAACCGTTTGTTAAATTGCTGGCTCGCCCGCCCCGCCTCCCACCCGTGCGGCGCCAGCCTACCCTAGCCCATCCAGTCACTGGGGGAGACACGCGACTTTTCTCCGCCCCGGAACACTGGCTGCCCAGGCTGCAGCTGAAGATTCGCATCGTAATGGGCTCCAGGAGGAGGAAGGACGCCGTCTGCCCCATTGCGAAGCTCAGTAAGAGCAACCAGAGCCGGCTGCAGGTGCAGCCGGGCGGGCAGGCACACGCACAGTGGGGTGCAGGCTTAAGGTGCCACCTCCAAGCCAAGGAGCGACCTGATGGTGCAGTAGGTGTGCTGCCGCCGCCGCCCCAAACGGGAGAGGAGAAAGAGATGGAGAGAAAGAGAGATGAAGGAGAGAAAGGGGGGGAGAAAGAGAGATGGAGAGAAAGAGATGAAGGAGAGAAAGAGAAAGAGGGGGGAGAAAGAAGAGATGGAGAGAAAGAGAAGGAGAGAAAGGGGGGAGAAAGAGATGGAGAGAAAGAGATGGAGAGAAAGAGAGCATTTGTAAAATATGTGATCAACCCAGTCAACTGGCTTATTCAACAGTTAACAAGGTAACAAACAGTCAATGGGAAGAACCATCTGCATAAACTATTGCAAGCCAGTGACGGGATTCATGCAGGTTTTAAATAGGAGAGAAAAAGCTAGCTGTCCTGAACCCGTGCTCCTTTCAAATAACAAATCTGGCTAAAACTGGGATCATCATTTAGTGAAGGTAGAATTTCTGGATTCTGCAAACTGAAATCTAAATCTAAAATCAGTAATGTACTATTAAACATAAGAAGCAGGTGGGCCCAATCTCCATAAGGGAAACAAGGGGAAGACTTTAAAAAATAAATGTATATAAGAGAGTGCTCAGGAATCATAGGTACATTTAAACATACATTTCATATTAAGAATATGTCAAGTAATTTATCACTAACCAATTAAGGTGATGACAGCATTATCTTCTTCAACAATATTGCAGAGCTGACCTGCCACATTTGCTTGAACTTCTTTATTTAATAGTTGAAAGCCTCTCTTTGTGAGTGATTCATTTATTGCACTACATGTCTGAATACCTATTGCATTAAGAGCTTCTTTTAAATCAAAAGTCCTGCAAGAAAGAGGGAAGGAAATTAGAAACAAAATGCTATCACATAATGCTTTTGCCTTTTTAAAAACCATTAGTTAGTCAGTCAGTCAGTCATGTGTTTACTTACTCCTTATGCATTCCTTCGAGCAAAACAAAAGAAATCCTTTTTTGTTTCTCAACGAAGTCTGGAATATCCTCAATAACTGCAGGCAGCATGTTGCTTGTTATGAGAGAAACACACGCTACAATCTTCAACTGATTCAATTTCTTGGATAATTCTTGAAGGCGAGCTTCATCTGTCATTAATGTCTGAAACAATTGGAAGAATAACATCGATGAACAATCATCAAACATCTGACCCAGTGGTGAAATCCAATTTTTTTTACTACCGGTTCTGTGGGCATGGCTTGGTGGGCGTGGCTTGGTGGGCATGGCAGGGGAAGGATACTGCAAAATCTCCATTCCCATCCCACTCCAGGGGAAGGATATTGCAAAATCTCCATTCCTACCCCATTCTGGGGCCAGCCAGAGATGGTATTTGCCAGTTCTCTGAATTACTCAAAATTTCCGCTGCCGGTTCTCCGAACTGCTCAAAATTTCTGCTACCGGTTCTCCAGAATCTGTCAGAACCTGCTGGATTTCATCCCTGATCTGACCATATTTAACAAAGTACATCTTTGTGAGGATGTCAACTTTTTCATCAGGTCCAGGATAAAAGAAGTCTCCTGAAAACTGTTAACTACCACCATATTTTCATTATATTCAATACTGCTGGTAACACAAATGCAAAATGCCCACATTCAGTTTCTTTATTAATATTATTTTATAAACCTTTAAGTGTAAATTAGTTTAAAGAGCAAATGGTATTGGTTAAAGCCCAAAGTTGATCCCAGCTTTCTATATCGCACATTAACCAATCCGATTCATTTAGAAGCTCTTAAATGTAAATAGGAGGATCTACTCTTCTTCTGCTGTTGCAGAATAACTGCTATTTAAGGTAGTACAATTTTAAGAGCCTGAAGGTACTAAACCACATTTAAGACTAGGTGTTAGGCTTAACTGTCATGACTTTCTCCTGTCTCTTAAAATTATTAAAACAATGATTGTCATTGCATCTAATGGCAGCATATTCTGCAGAGTTAGGTGTTCTCATTAATTTCTATAGGACAAAGTAAGTAGCTTACCACAGAGTCAGGGCCTCAGTGAATAACTAATCACACCAAATACAAGGCATAAAATTATAATGCAATGAAATGTATGGCTGTCAAGCCATCAGTTCACATTATAAAAGAGAATCAATCTTTATCCAAGCTTGTTCTTGAAAAAGTATCTATGACATTGTGGACGGCAATAACCAAAGGTGGGTTTCAGCAGGTTCTGACCAGTTCTCGAGAACTGGTAGCGGAAATTTTGAATAGTTCGGAGAACCGGTAGTAAAAATTCTGATTGGCCCCGTTCCCATCTATTCTCTGCCTCCCAAATTCCAGCTGATCGGGAGGAAATGGGGATTTTATAATAACCTCCCCCTGGATTGGGAAGAGAATGGAGATTTTACAGTATCCTTCCCCTGGAGTGGAGTGGGAATGGAGATTTTACAGTATCCTTTCCCTGTCACGCCCACCAACCCATGCCACGCCCACCAATCCATGCCCACAGAATCGATAGTAAAAAAATTTGAAACCCACCACTGGTAATAACTATGAACAATCTACTGGCCTAGAATCAGGCAACATGCTAACCTATAACATGACTTGTTTTTGGATTAATGTGTTGTGCTTTTCTCCATAAATCATGGTTAAGTCAACCATGATTTAAGTCTAAATTGCTATCTACTGTGTATTACAGAAAAAGAAGTATAAAAATTTTAGAAGTTCTGAGATAGAAAGCAACTTACCTCTGGAATTGTTTTTTTCTGATAATCCCACTCTAACAATTTCAGGTAGCTGTTTGTTAACACCACAATCGGGCTAAGATTTGCTTTTGAGATCCCATTAGCACCAGAAGATGATGACATTTCACAAGAAATAGAAGATAGTTCATCTTGTATTGATTCCCTTATCCATTCCGTTGTCAAGTCTAGGGCACCTGAACATTTGGAGACAGAGATAAGAAAGATCAGACTTGTACTGTTTGTTTTACAAAGGCATGTACCCAGTTCAGTAAATATGATATGGGGAGGGGGGGATAACTCCAGGACCTAATCACCCAAAGAAAATAAAACAGGTGAATATTGAAAACTAGATAAAAGTTTTTAAAAACAGACTAAACTTACAACATGACAAAGTAACATGATAGTCATGCATAAGCATACAGTGTAAAAATACATCCAGATAGTAAAACATGTAAGCCAGAGCATTTTTGCAACTCAAGGTTGTTTTACTGACAGTAATCCTCAAAAATATTTTAGAATACTTTTCTCCCTTCCCCAAATCTGTTGCAGCTTTTTGCTCAACTGCTTCAGATCTTATACAATTGCCTTTGTTGCCACTACATTGTCTCTCCCCTTTTTATGTAAACAAAGAACATACTTGGAGTTTCTTCAAGTATATCTTGGAATTTTGCTCTTTCATAATCGATCAAGTTGCGCTGAACGTGAGGTCTAACACTCTGTATGGTAAAGTTAACCATATCCATTGTCATGAGATCCAGAACATGGAATATTTGCCTGAAAAAATACAGAAATGACAAATTTGCAGTAGATTCAAACATTGTTACTTACATATATTTAGTCAGTCGTCCTTTCTCACAATGTGAACATGATATGTACTTTTATGATAATTTCCCGAGTTTAGTTTTCATAAGAAACTACATCCAATTCCATGCTTCAAAGATAAGGCATGACATCGTAAAGCTACTGAGCAGAATTTCAGCTGTTTTGCAATGTTTCTATAGCTTTATACAAACACAAAGATCACAAGAAATGATAACATAAATCCTATCTATTTTGCTTCTATCAGATGCCTGTGGAAAACTGGCAGTGCAAGAGTCACTTTTTAAACTCTTAAGCAAATAGCTTTAAAAAGCAAATAGCCATCAAGCTGGAATAGATATCCGTTGGGATTAAAACAACAACACTGAAAGCCGAGTTGAACCATAAGAAAATATAATGAAAGGGTGATTCTTTACAAGAGCCAAAGTAACATGGAAGTGGATGGTTGCTTTTACAAAAGGTAGGGGACAGGGAAAAAACAGAAAACTGAAAAAAAGGCCAAAGATTCACAGTTTAAAGTCAGAGTCAAGATAGTGATTGTATTTGGAATGTTTTAGTTCAGGTAAATGTCTATGGAGATTCTCAATGATCCAGGTCATGGTTGTCCCAAAGGTGCTTTTTTAAAAGGCAACTGGGCTTTCATAACTGAAGAAGCTTATTGGATGAGAAGCAAAACATCTTCAAAGAAAAACAAGAAAGTCCAGTTGCCTCTTGAAAAAGCACCTTTGGGACAACCATGACCTGGATGACTGAGACTCTCTCAGTCTATGTCTATGGACATTTACCTGGTCCAGTTGTCTCTTGAAAAAGCACCTTTGGGACATTTTAGTCCAGGGTTTCTCAACCTCAGCAACTTTGGGTTGGGTGAGCTTCAACTCCCATAAATCCTCAGCTAGCAATGCTTTAGTCAACGGTAAGTATTATTGATGTCTGAGTATCAACAGTAAAAGACAAATGGAAGGACTTTACAGGCCATGGGAATTCTAAATGGTATAAAAGACACCTGAAATTTTGGGGAGGATTGATTCAGATCATTCTTTTAACCACCACCTAATGTTAAAAAGCAAATCACATACCAACCTCAACAATGCTACAATATTCCCAGTGGGCTTTAACTGGTTGATATCATTGTCCCTTACTGGAGCACACAACTTCCCCATGGTGCTAATGACATAGTTTGCAAGACCCTGGATATCAACTGCATTGTGCTCAGCCTGCTGCCTTATAAGGTCCGTGTCGAGGACTTCACAAATTTGGTTGCGCATCCTGTTAGCCCCCGGGTTCAAAAAAGAAAGAAGGATCTGCAAGATTAAAACCACAAGTCAACTAAATTGCAATTAATGACCCATAATAGAAATGTGTGTTTCATGTGGTCAAAGACACACAGAGAAAGAACCAATCAATAATATAAGTTAGGAGGAATTTCAGCAACTGTGGCTTTATGTTGCACATGCCAAACTTCCCCCTTCAAGAGCAATTATGAGTCCTGCCCTTCCTGCCACTTGAAGTCACTCTATATACTTTGTAATTCAAATGATGTGAATGCCATACCTAGATGCAAAACAGATACATGCTGTTCTACATCTAGATTATTTCACAAAAGTGTCGTATGGAGGAACTAAGTGGCCACAAAGCTAACAACAAAGTGATTTTGGTTTAATTGGCTCCCCCCCGCCACCTAATTCATGGGGGGGGGCAGTGGTGGGTTTCAACTGGTGTTACCACCAGTTCGCTTCCATACTCAATTTCAGAACAGCTGAGGCATGGCAATCCGCTCTGCCGCTCCTATCAGCTGGGCTAAAAACGAACAAATATAGGTAGGTATAGCACAAGGCAGGTGGGAGGGCCCAACTGACGGTTGGAGCGAACCAGTTCGCTCTCACCTCACCATCTCCACTATCAGCTCGCCCAAACTGGGGAGAACCGGTAGCAACCCACCACGGGGGGGGGGGGGGATTCAGGGAAAACCATGGAGGCAATTTTAAACTTCCTGGAAAAATTACTACATCCAAGTTCTACTAACAACAAGAGTGTCAGTTTGGTGTAGTGGTTAAGGAATCAGGCTAGAAATGGGGATAACATGAGGTCTACTTCTTAGGAACAAAGTCAGCTGGGTGACCTTGGGCTGGTCACTCTCCCCCAGCCCTAGGAAGGAGACAATGACAAACCACTTCTGAAAAATTTTGCCAACAAAACTACAAGGAATAACCCAGGCAGTTGCCAGGAGGCAACACTGAAACAAAGATATGCAGTCACACACAGACACCCCATCCCCACCCACTGCAAAACCTTTAAAAACTACAAAATAATTTTATGATATTAGGTAATGTTATGGTAAAATGTTATAGTCATAGCAGGATCTCATTCAGGCCCTGTTTAAGTACTTGGCGTACAAATACTAACACACATAACTTTCAGGCAAAGCCTGCCAGACACAAACATTTTTAACTGGCTTTCAGCACTGACAGGATAAACTGAGCAGTTATTGTGGTCACCTTGAACATATAACAATGCTACATCAGAGTCTAGCATCACTGTAGGCAAATATTGAAAGGGTTGGCCAAATCAGCATTTTTCCTCTGAGAATTGGACTACTGAAATATGTAACAGTTGCTAGTCATTAATGCTGGCCCCTACCATACCCCCTTGTATGTAAGAAGAAGTGCTACAATGAATGCTATCAAACTTTGTATAATTCTGCTTCTGGCAGGCATGCCATCATAAACAAAAAGAAAAAAAGCATGCTAAGCTTCAATATATCTACATATAGATATTTTTTTTAATCATTTCTTTCTGTCTGTTATAAAACTTTCCAGCAATCTTCCCCACCCTGGTTGCCTCTCAGGTGTGCTCAAACTCAGCTTTACCATTCTCCCAACTATCATTGTCAAGCCACCTGAAGGACAGTTAGACTAGGGATATCTTGAGAGGCTGCCCACTTTACATCAGAGGTCTTCAAACTTGGCAGCTTTAAGACTTGTGGACTTCAATTCCCAGAATTCTCTAGCCAGCATAGAGAATTCTGGGAGTTGAAGTCTACAAGTCTTAAAACTGCCAAGTTTGAAGACCTCTGCTTTACATCTACAAATTTTGATTTACAGAATGCCAATGTACAGAACCTGTTCCATGGCTGCTTAAAAACAAACTCAGCTTGAGAGAGCAGGACCAAAACCCCACCTCTTTAATTTCCTCAAAGAGTTTGATTGCATGCTCATACTCAGGAGGGTCTTCCTTCAAATCTTCTTCCAGGCGATCCCAGAATGCTTTATGTACAATTTGTTTAACCCTTCCAGGCAAGCTGTCAGGTATGAGAAGGGAAAGACAGGAGAGTATAAGCATTCAAAGCATTCAAAGAAAGCAAAGTGCTAAAACAAAATAAGTCAAACCAAGCTCCTGCTTAGAGGAAAGGACCTATCATTTCATTAATAGAAAGATCCTAGCCATAGCAGTTTATAAACCAAGGATCAGGATTCAATTATTTGTGGAATGGGCCATTGCAGTTGTTACAGAGGCTATGATTTGTGTGATATGTAACCTTAGCCAATATTTACAGGAATACTGCACATTCAAGTTCTTTTTTTTAAGTAGCAATGTTTATGTCTCATGGGCTTATCAGTTTGAATCACAAACTTAACCTGAAAAAAAACCTTGCTTAGCTTTTTGAGTACATTCTGTATTAAAAGATGAACATTAGAAAGGACCCCTGAAACTATGCAAACCATTTGTGATTGCTTGTTGATCTGTTTAAAAACTGGCTCCTTTCCCCCCATCCTTTTAAAAACCTGAGCCTACCTGTTGTGTGTGTGCTCTATGCGTTTCAAATGAAAATTCTCATTTACAGCAATTTCATGAGCCAGAGACAGGTTTGACAGATTCCTTGCAGCTGCCATCATTTCATCAAACGTAACCATTTTGGGAGGGCTTGTTGCTGGAATCAAGAAATAAGACATACGACGTGTTGACTTGACATGAAAGCCTATCAATATTTTACATTTCTGAGAGAGTTCTTCACTTAGTGTTTAAAAAAAAGTTTACTTTGAATCTGTATTTTCACTTAATACCTCCTTTATTTATTTTATTATTTTTTTTGCAAATTCCAAGCCAGGAGATTTTGTTACCCGAAATTCAAAAACTGCCAGTCCTTGTTCCTCTATCATTGTTCCTATAACAGGATGTTAAGTGTTTATTCCTGAGCAACAGGCTAACTTAGAAATTAAGTTTAGGACAAGTTAATTGAACCTCCCCATGATCCTATTGCTGGGTTCACATATCATACTCATACTACCCTTTGTTTTGGCCTGCATGTTCAATTGATATCCTCCTGTGGCTAAAATCATGATTTATGAAATCAATCAACCAACTGTACCTTATTCAGCAAGCCCTAGTTAATATGTGCTGCCCCAGAGAATTCCTCCTTTCTACTTGACCCTTTATACAAAAGCTAATCAGACTGGCATTTGTGCTTTATTTTGACAACAAGAGCAGAACAAGAATGATAACTTTACTCGAAGGAGGCAGATTAACATCAGAGATTCAAGCATATATGGAATTTCTCAGTTATCCAGATCATAGTTCTCCCAAAGGTGCTTTTTCAACAGGCAACTGGATTTTCTTGTTACCAGAAAGTCCAGTTGCCTCTTGAAAAAGCACCCTTGTGACGATCAAAGATTCAAGAGACTTTTCACTGCATCAAGAGCCTTGGTAGTACAGTGGTCTAAGCACCCTGTTATTAAGACCAGTTGCCTGCAATTACTGCAGGTTCGAATCTCGCCAGGCTCAAGGTTGACTCAGCCTTCCATCCTTTCTAAGGTAGATAAATTGAGGACCCAGTTGTGGGGGCAATAAACTGACTTTGTATAAATATACAAAAGGATGAAGGCTATTGCTTAGCACATTGTAAGCCGCCCTGAGTCTCCGGAGAAGGGCGGCATATAAATCAAATAAAAAAAAAAAAAGTTTAATCCACAGTTGGCCCATTCTGTCTAGTGAAAAGGCCAACTCTGATTTCTGGACATCAGAAATTGCTTGCTCTTTGAAGTCAATTAATAAAATCTCTTTAAAATGTATCTAAATATATGTGTTTAATACTGGATGTTTTCTATTTATTGGCATGCTACTTGTTTCTATTTTTACAACAGTTACTATTTCCCTTTTACTCAATTGCAAGGTATTTTATTAGATAAATCCAACTGAAAATGTATTAATAAAATCAGTGAGTAAATAAACACTAAGCAGAAGTGAATTAAAATGAGGAAATACACATTCTATTCAAAGTAAAAATTTTCAAGCATCTTAGTGAAATGTTTTTGCGCAAAATTACACCATAAATTATAGAATATTCTGGACCTGTTCTAAGATGATCATTTAGTTCAGCCAAAGGACAACTCAAGCATTTTGCTATTTTATACTTTTTCTGCAAAATTTCAAAAGGTACCTAAGGATATGGCTGGCATATCATTGCAGACAGCAATTATAAACATAATTTAGGGAATTCCTTCGTGATATCTTTACTAATGCCTACCATCAATACATGGGCAACTACTAGGATTCAAACCTGTGTTGGTCATAAATTAATAATAATCTCACATTCTGGAAATCTGTTTTACCCACAGGATTGGGCATGATGTTGTGGAAGATAGCTAAAAAAAATACCCTTCTAAAATGTGGCCAGCTTCAACTCCCATAGGAAACCACTGAAATTTTGCACAATTTGGGAGATTTTGAGTGTTCCAAGGACAGAATCTGGAAGTATCAGACACATTGCATTGTCTCCTTTGACAAAAATTCTATAAATGCCCAAATAAGGCCAGAAGATAATAGTCCACCAATATCCTCTTCAAAATGGAGGAGGATCTGCATATCCAATCTAAACTTATCCCAGACCATTTTGGCAATTCAAAGGCACATATCCCAGTATGTGCTTCTTGCTTACAGGTTGGAGAACTGGGCTTGCTTGAAGAATCACTGGTAAAACTCTGCCTTGAGTATTCAGAGTCGCTAGATGAAGAAGTTGCACTTTCTGAAGATCGCGAAGAATCACAGTCACTGCTCTGCTCATCAGTGAAAGGCATTTTGGATCACTTCTGTTAATCCAGTAAATAGAACCTGCCAAATTTTTAAAAAGAGGTTTACTAAAATCTATTTGATACAGTTATAAGAAAGTCTTTAAAAATGTTATCACTGAAGAGCATTAATACTGAATTGAAATAAACAGTAGTGTTTACTCCAGTGGTGAAATCCACATTTTTTTACTACCGGTTCTGTGGGCATGGCTTGATGAGCATGGTTTGGCTTGGTGGGCGTAGCAAGGAAAGGATACTGCAAAATCCCCATTCCCTCCCCACTCCTGGGAGAAGGATATTGCAAAATCTCCATTCCCACCCCACTCTGAGGCCAGTCAGAGGTGGTATTTGCCGGTTCTCCGAACTGCTCAAAATTTCTGCTACCAGTTCTCCAGAACCTGTCAGAACCTGCTGGATTTCACCCCCTGGTTTACTCCAAATAAGTTAACTTTAAAATGGAAGGAATCCATAGATTCAATGAACATATGGGAAGTAGGTGAGGGTTTCTTTCTTCTAAGCTTCCTTTGAGAGATGGTGTCATCTGGCCTTTGGATAAATCTGATATGCAAATATTGCCTATCTTAAATACAACATCTATTTTAAAGTGGAGTTTAAAATGGAATCAGGCAGTATTTATTAAATGTCTTTGGATTTTATACCAAACATGGCTTAAACTGTGTAGCGTACAAAGTAATGCTGAGACTTTGGGAAAAATAATTAAATAAGACACTGAACCTAGACATCTTTATTCATAATCACAGATTATGTTCTTTATATGATACAATTTTTATTACATCTATTCCCAATCCTGGTCACCTCCAGATTTGGCCATTTTCCTAGTTGGTGATCATGACAAATTATGAACAAATAAATTACTGAATGTTAGTCAAAACTGTATACTAACCTGTGTAAGCAAATACCAAATGAAGTTATCACAATTGTCTAGAGGTAGTCTAGATGCAGCCCTCTTGAAAATTAAAAAAACAGATACTTAAATCAACACTTAGAATTTAGCTAATACTTCAAAGGATTTTCCACATACATCATTTTATCAGTCTTTACAGGAATTGTATAAAACAGATTCATATTCTAAGATAAAAACCTAATCTGGGTATTTAATATCTAATGTTAAATAATGAAAATCATTTTAGGCTATAATCTTATAGAATTTAGGATAGCATTTTATGGACCACTGGATTCCTTGGAAATTGAGATGCTCTTCCTTATCAAGATGCTATTATCTAAACTCTGCATAACTGAAGTAGTTCCATTTTTCACTGGAATTTTAAATAGAGACAGTGTGCAAGGGAGCTTCCTTTTGGATATGAATTCTAGCACCTACTACTAGAATCAGACTAACAGAAGCTTTACTTCATTTTCTAGGACAAATGATCCTTACTCTATTCTTGTTAATAAAGAGTTACTACAACAAAAAGAGGAGCAATCACTTTGAATTCTTTGAATATTCAAAAATATTTAACCAGCTAAATAACTGGCAATCATCCAACTGATCAATTTAGAATATTTGTCTAGTGGGTTAAATAATATGCCAATTTATGCAACATGAAACCCAACATTAAGGTTAGTGTGATAAGCGATTTAAACGAGTCACGACTCAATTCATATACTTTATCCATTATTATGCTAAAACCCCTATTCACTTTTGAAAAACCCATTACTGAAATTCCATTATTAACATATAACACCTCTTGTAGTGAACCATCAATAATTCTCATGATTTAATGCAATTAAATACTTCCTGTGCCACGGAAAAACAACCATCTCTAGTGTTGGTCAGATAGATTAATAATCCCACCAATCATATCTAGGCCCACGTGCAGAACAGGAAATAAACATGACATCATACAATTTAAAAACTACAGTTGGAATTTACATAGTCATACAATTATTAAACTGCTCTGGCAATGAGTCAACAAGTACTTGATGCAAGCATGAACTTCTTGTTTACAACATGAAAATTTTCCAGATGTTCCTCGGTTCCATAGGAATCTTCTTAATCAAAACTACTAATGAACTGAAAGCCAATTAATTGTAGAGAAGGTGCCCTCTTTGTGGACTTGAGGATTAGCTCTACAACTGGTGAAGGAGAGACAGATTAGTATGCTAGTCTTCATTCCTCTTCATTCTTCTTGTATGTATACTTAATAAGTTTACATACAAGAATAAATAATGAATAAATAGAACGAAACCAGTTATCCTAACTTTGTGTCCTCAAGATGTGTTATCATATGGCAAGGAATTATAGAAACCATTTTTTTTAAACCAGGACGACAGAATTTAATCAGGACAGAATTTGTGGAAAAGGGACCAAAATATCATCGCATGTAACAGGCATTTTTTACTTTTGAATATCAAAAGGGTAAGTCACAACACAGCTGTCATTTGTTTGAATGGTTCAACTAAAACTTTTTGTCCTCAAATATACAATATACTTTACAGCAGCAGCATAGTTGCCCACTCTTGATTTGCAAGTGAAGTTCCTTATGCTAAACAGTAATCTTGATGATCATGGTAATAAAGACCCTAAAACATTTTATTCTTGGGCAGTTATAGAAAAGCTATGACAAGGTAAACAAAGGCATAGTCTCAAAAGCAGCAAATAAAAACTCTCTGGTGCATATCTGAAGAACAAGTTAGACTATAAACTATGGTTTACCAATTGCAATAGCTGATTTCACCTAGTTCACGAAGCCAAAATCAAATAAATTACACTATTGTTTACCTTGATGTGTGAATAAAACCACAATATGAATGACACGATCTAGAAACAATTTACCTACTGTAACTTACAAATGTCAGATCCAATGAAGAAAACTGACACAATGACAGAACTACATACTTGAGAGTTTTGAAACTTTATGTCATATTGCATGAAGTACACAAGAACATGAGTCACTGAGCCAGGCAATTAAATGAGACTGTCCCTCATTTGCACAGAGCATGATGACTCCAGAAAGAAATTTGAGTTGCTTTCCTTCCAACTTCATTGTTTCTTTCTTTGGACTCTCTAATCTTTGCTCTTTTTAAAATAGCTAATAGAAATAAGCTTCCTTTCTGAGTACATTCTACTTCTCAGATATTACCATACTGACATTTAGAAATGGACCTTCTTTTTGACTTTTTGCTATATGTGATGTAGCAATCATTAAAATATACGTTTCCATTTTCTGGAAAAGGTTTTAGGAAAATAATCCTACATAAAAATAAATCAGCTACAGAAAGTTGCAATTTAAAAACGCACACATCAAAGATGTTTGTGTATACAATGCACACAGTGTGAACACTGTGCATCAATGTAGAACCTGGATACACCAATGACCAAATAACTACCTACTAATATAGTAGAAAGAAGGATATGGTTATTTCTGAGTGCCATAATATTATTCCCAGGATATATTCTGATTCTCAAGTTTAAAGGGATAATCTTTACATAGATCAAACCAAGCTACCTATTCACATACTGATTTTATATCTTATTGAGAGGAAGGAAGGATGGTAGTTGCAAATAGTTTTCTTACCTGCTTACTCAGAATATATATACAAAGCATCAAGAAAAATATTTTTAACTTCTTTTTCAAATTGCATACATCAGAAATTTACTAAAGCTAGTTAAACTCATTCATTAGTCTCTCTCCTCTACGCCTTCCACTGCTTAAACAAATAATAAATTCCTACGGTTTTACCAGCCCTAAATTGCAAATAGGAGGTATTTGGCTAATGTTGTTAATTTGTCATTTCACATTATGAAATGAGTTTGCCCTTAACTGACTATTAAAAGTTCATGTTTACAAGAAGACAAACCCCTCCACTGATAAAACAGACATTAAATGAGCATGCTGACAAAAGCCAAATAATTAAATCAATAAGAAACTGAGAAGAATGGAAGGAGCTGCTGGTAAAAAGTTTCTGATGTTCAGTTATTTGGGATGTAAGGTTTTCTTTTAACTTTTTGCTGCAGGACCATGTGAAAAACATGGAGGTCTCAGAAAGTTAAGGACAGTCAGCAGGTATGCAACTATATATAGATGCAACCAACCAGAAATAGAGTGATAGAATCCATGCATCACTGGAGTGGACAGGATTGTGGAGTGGATAAAGTTGCAGCCTGCACATTTTATGCTATCTTGGGGAACTGGAAAGCTACTACTTAATAGCCTTATAAGAGAAGGCAATAAATAAAAGTAAATATGAAGAGCTCTACATACTTCACTTACTCACCCTAAAAAAACACATGATAGATCTAGGTAGCATATCTGTCCTGTGTGCAACTATTTAGGGCATATATACATAACAAATAAAAGCAGAACCTAAAATAGAAATTCACAGCCTTATTTTGGTTGGAAAATAAACTTCATTACAAATTACACTGTATAAGAAAACTTGAGATAGTATTTAAATGCTTAAAAACATATTATTTAAAAATAGAAATACATACATAGATGTGACCTATTAATAACTTGCTTACCATATTTACTGCACTACTTTTAGACTTGCCTATCCTGGTCAATCCTTACCTGTTCAAGAGTTGCTCCCTATGTGAGGTTTGATGCAGTTCATGGGCAGTTACACTTTCAATATGTATTCTGAAAATCATTTAAGAAGTGTGTAGCAGATCTGCAAACTGGGACACAGAAAAGAAGTAATTTGAATAAAACCAATATAATTGTATAGCAAGTTGTCAAGGTATGTATTGTGCCTATTTGGGGTAGAAGAAATGAGATAAAATGGAATTTGCATAGCAGTTTAGACTCTTCAATCTCCATCACCATCAACATTTACATAGTTGTGAAACACTTGCAATTTCATTTTTGAGCAATAGTCATTTCTGCATGAATATCTTCACAAGGATATCAAATATTTTAAATTGATGCAGTGATTTTATTAAAATACCACTTTACTCTTACATCTATCAGTAAATACCTGTAGCATGACAAGGGCAAACGTAACATTAACTCATGCATAAACTTGCCAAAATCCTAATGAAAACCTGGGGAAATCACTTCAAAAGAGTGGGATTATGGAGAGTCATGCAATGTCCCAGTTGCATAATTCTATAACAAATGTAGATCCTGTAGTGGCAGCTTGCATTTTTTTATAAAAATGTTTAATTTTTCCCAGGTTGATGTTTCTAATAATTCTTACCTTTTGCTAAGGAATAATGTGAGTTGAAAGCTAACCCATTTACACTCTATGCTAAGACAAGGCTGGAGAATAAACAATTCTTTGAAGAAGCAGAAAATTAAAACAGAAAAGTGGTTCATTTAGTATCTCATAATGGGAATCAATCATTTAAGGAATGTGCGACTTTTCTTCTTGCACACAAGAGAATCAGTGCTGACCAATTTCAGTGATAGTACAATACTTCACTTACAAATTCTTGTTCTGTTTGTTTCTTGTTTCTCTTTTCAGAAGAGAAAAAGGATTCAAGAATATACCGATCAGAGTAAATAAGTCAGCATGACTCTTTATGGCTCTATATGACTTCAGTGGAAAATTTACATTTTGTGTGTGTGTGTGTGGTGGGGAATTAGCAGATATCATAAGCACATCTTTTTGTTTTTAACTCAGAAACATAGCAACCCATATACAAAGGTATAGCAACAATCATATTATCAATCTCCCAATGAATGGAAGCTAAGCAGCAACACTTACTGTACTAATTATAGAGGTGTAGATAATTAAGTGGGAAATAGGTTTCTTTAATGAACTTTTGTTAACAGCTAATTCCATAATGTAACATCATCATTAGGTGAGAATTTAATTTGATTTTATCAGTGGTGTTTCGTTTAAGTAGATCAGTTTCTTAAGAAAACATTGCATGTGCATCCTAATCCAATAACCTTACTGATGTTTGTAAATCTGACTCTGAACATTTAGTTTTATGTATTATTTATTGCAAACATTAATCAAGAAGACAGAAACTCCTCGTTTTTCTCCTGCTGTGAGCTAAATTCAGTCTTTGGAGCAACAACCTTTTTCTTTGTTTTCTCCCTGCATGCTAGTAAGAAAGAGATTCTCCAGAGATCTAAAATAAATACTCACAGAGGTAGGTTCTGCATGGACTCTAGCATTAGCTAATCATTTCAATTGCATAATTCTTACCAAGAGTTACGAGTTCTTTAGTGACCTTTCAACCTATTGTTCTTTCCTACTCTTGCATTTTTACTAAATGCTTCAGCTCTCCTAGCATTTTCTTTAAGACTAAGGCAAACATGACCTGGGAAATCCGTAAATGGACCCCCGTTCTTCCCCCTCCCGCAGTATCTGTATTTCACACCTAGATTATTCTTCATTTAAAAGGGTAAATGATAGTTTATGAAGTAGCAGCTCTGGAAGAAAGATGGCTTTAATTCCCCCAGAATATTGCTTTCCACATTTAAGTTACTCCTTTGAAACTAAAGTGAATTCTCCCAAAGGGAAGAGAGAAAGTGTATCTCAGTTAAATTACAGTCCATTATTAAGATGAAGAGACAAAAGCTTACAGAATTTACAGAATTCTTCAGAATGTAGAGTCTCCCTCCCCACCCGCTCAAGAAAATATCATTCATTTAATCATCCATATTTATTGCAGGTTTATTTAATGCAAGTCTTCTGCCTGGAGGTTTCTTTCCTGGTATTGAACAATGGGTTGAAATGTTATGTACATATATATAGAAATAAAACTTCAGAAAATATAATAGTGAAAAAATATGGTTGCACCACAATTCTATCAATGTTAGGATTCTTAAAATACTGCAAAGTTAAGAATTCATAAAACTTAAATCAAAGGGATTAGTAGGGAAAGATGGTGAGCATTCTGGATTTGTCTACTCTGCCATCCCTTTAAAGTGAGTCATTTCCTTTCCTATCATGGTGCAGGTGCTATCATTTCTGAGAATTTGTGGGAAATGTTTTTCTTATACCTGTTATTATCACTTTTATGCACTTCCCTTGGATTTTTGCATCTGCTTATAGAATCTACCTACCTACCTACCTACCATCACTATTGTGGATGATCTGTTGTCTGTGTTGTGGCGACCTTGGTACTCTCTGAGCTTGGTTGTTTTGTTATGGAGTATTGAAACATCTGCAAAACAACAAGCCACGCTTAGCGTGTACCAAAGACTCTACAGTTCAACCTTGAGCTAGAAATATTCTCTTCTATTACTCTCTGTATGTTTACTTCCAGATTAATTTTGTCTGCTTTTAATTTTATAAGCAAGTTATAGCTAGATAAAATGTAAAGAAAGTTCTTTTTGTTTGGAGCCAAACATTACTAGTTTTCTGGATTTTTTTTGCCTGTTTAGAAGATATGATTTATCACTTTGTTTCAGACAAACTGTGTGTAAAAACCATGAATATTCATGATGATTCTTGTCTCAAACAGAAGCTTCTTGCATTATGTCCCAGATCCTCAGATCTGTGGTTTTGATGTTTAGTTTTAGGCAAAAATCTATGATCAGTGTTTTGGCAATTATTTCAATATAAAAAAAGATAGAGATTCATGCCTTAAATCCATGTATCCAATCAATTGATTGGATCTATTGTGATAGTTCACTGTATACAGACAAAGGTGTTTTGTGACTTTAGAATGATTTCATGTGACTCTCTTTAAAAATGATGCAAAATCAAATGATCTCTCCCCAACCCATTATTTGTGTCATGTTGGAGCCAAAAGTGGTGAGATCCATGATTGTCAAATTGTATGGACTTGACAGACATAATTTATTTCTTGATGATTTCATATAGGTTGCATGTAAAGATGCAGGCTTCAAATTATGTTTTAATACCGCAATGGGATCAAAAGGACTCATGACTAAGAAGCCTCATTGAATGCTGGCAAATGCGTCCTGTGATTTGAAGGTGGTTTCACATGAACTCATGGAAAAAATCCTGAAAAATCAAGAGAATCTGTGTAGAAATAGAAATGATGAGCTGTGCAAATGTTAGTGTATTCTGTGCTAATATACATCTTATGATTTAACAGTTATTTATTGTTGCTTTTAATGTACATTTAGAAACATTTAAGTAATTTTCTATTATTTGTCAAATTAGGGAAAAGAACCAACACTGTTAATTAAGATGATGATTTAAGTACAAGAATGTTTATAAACATGTGAACCATATGCTACCTAACCTAAACTGCAGAAATCTAGACAGCCACCATATAGAAGTTTTGCTTTTTAATTTTCAAATATAGTTATAAGGAAATTGACTAAAAATATTAATAAAAATGCAATGCATAATTACGTAACTCTTGCCCATGGCTCCTCTGTAGTGGTCACCCAGATTTTTCTGGTGGTGACACCTGAGACTTTATTTCCATAAGCCTAAATGCAATGGGCAGAGTAAGAGGACGTACAGGTAGTCCTCAACTTACAACAGTTGCTTTAGTGACCACTGGAAGTTACAACAACACTGAAAACTGTTGTTTTTCACCCTTATGACCGTTGCAGCATCCCCATGGTCACATGATCAACATTCAGATGTTTGGCAACTGACTCATATTTACGACGGCTGCAGTGTCCTGGAGTCATGTGACCACCTTTTGTGACCTTTTGACAAGCCAAGTCAATGGGGGAGCCAGATTCACTTAACAACCACTTTACTAACTCAACAACTGCAGAGATTCACTTAACAACCGTGGCAAGAAAGCTGGCAAAACGGTCTCACTTAGCAACATAAATCCTGGGCTCCATTGTGCTCGTAAATCGAGGACTACCTCTACTAGCCGTCAACAACACGAGAGAGCAGCGTCCTCCGCCGACTCTCTGTACCGTCCAATCTTTACAAGAGCAAATGAGTAACCCGACGCCCCTTCCTTGGATGGAGGGCGAAAACAGCAGCTCCTCCTCGGCTTGGCCGATTCCCCTCCCCGCAGATGTATTTTTGGCGCCGGCTCAGAGGCTGCAAGCCTCCTGGCACCCTCCGCTCCAAACAAAACCAGCGTTTCCAAGGAAAACCTCCAAAACAACAGCTCGCTTCTCCGCCTTCACGAGCTCTGCAATTTCTATCAAGGCTTCCGGATCTTTAACCGCATCCGACAAGTTACGGGGAAGGGAGGGTCGTTAATATATATATATATATATTTTAAAGTGTTTCGGAACACTTGTCCTCGGAAAGGACAAAACAAAATAATTTGGGTTGCCAACGACGGATTCCCCCCCCCCCCCCCAAAAAAAAGGGAAATTATTGCTCGCCTCCCCCCCTCTCAGCTTTCCCCGACTGCAAAAGCGCGCTTTGCGGTTGAGGGGCGAGGGGAGTCACCTTGAGATCGAGCTTGCTCCCCCACCCCGCCTTATGTTTGTTTAACTAGGTTTAAACAAGCCAACATTTGCCGATATTCGACGAACGGCGTAAGCCAATAGCCATTGTTTGCAAATCCAAACCGCAGAGTCCGACACGGGCTTTGCTTCCCCGTCAAGGGTCCAGCCAGAATGACAGCCACCCAGCCACTCACCCACCGCTCACGGGTTCTCCCCAATGCAAGCGAGGCTTCAAAGGGGGCAATCCGGGGTTCAATCATCGGTATGATTCTCGGGGTTTTGGGGAGGACGCGGAGCGCTTCTTTCTCAAGAGGAGGAGGAGGAGGAAGGCAAATCGAGACCCACTCACCGCAAGATACCCCCTTTCCAAGCAGAGGAGTCCTCGGTTTCCCCCCCCCACCCTCACCCACCGGTTCTGCCCGGGCTGCCCCTCAGCTGTTGTCACTCGGGCTTTAACTCTCCATCCGCCTCCCCCGTTTGGTTATACATAGTCTTGGGCTGTCTTATTAGCAGCTGCCTGGACGCTCCCACTTCTCTGTGAGGAGAGGGGGGATTAGAAACGTTTCGTTCCGTATCTTAACCAACGCGACACGCAAGGGAAGCGACACTCGGAGAACGAAACGATAAGGCTTAGGCCGGACAGGTCGAAGCCGGCGGCGGGGTTCTTTTCCAAAAAGGGAAGGCAAATCCCGTCCATCCGTGAGAGGAGAGCTTGCTCCCCTTCCCCTGGGTACGAATGCTCTCTCCCGGCTGGAGGGGCGGGGCTGAGCGATGTTTACGGAAGCGAGCGGGTGTCCCCAGTTCTCCCTGCTTGCTGGGCTCGGGAGGTTGCCTCCTCCGGCGGCTCATGTTGTGGTTGGGCGCGCCAGCGCTGGGCTCTTTCCTGCCCTCTCAGGCAGCCGGTTTGCGTTGCTGCAGGAATGTAGATTGCTGGATTCTGTCCTGACTTTGTCATAATGCTTGCCTGCTTGAGTCGATATGTGATAAAATAGCTGCTCGTTGAGGGCGGAAGATAGGAGCAGGAGCGGGTTTCGCAGAAGGGAAGCGAAAGAAGACAAGAGTCACGACGTTCTCCCTGTAAATGGTTGGCCCCAGGGTGCTAAATTTAAATGGCTTTGTACTGGGATTCATCCAGCCTCCCTGGAACTTCAGGTTTGGAGTCTGTAGAGATTCTCAAATGATCCAAGTCATGGATGTCCCAAAGATGCTTTTTCAGGAGGCAACTGGACTTTTCTTGTTTTTTCTTTTCAGTTTTGGAGGTGTTCTCTCCAACACGGTCACACAGTAGCTGAAAGACACCCAGCCAGAGATGGAACAGACAAATCCATGGAAATGTTTGCCTTTGAGGTGTTGGAAGATATGATTCACTCTTCTCCTAGAAAAAGGAAAAGAAACTCAAAAAATATTAAAAGAGCAGGAAAATTCCCCTAAAAGAAAATAAGCAGAAACTCAGGCAGAGTTTCAGCCCCCACTTTTGTCAATGGGCTTTTTAAGAAGCTGAAGCCAACCAATTTTCCACAACGAAGGAAGGACAAAATTACAGGGGCCTGCAACATCCAAACAGGTATAGGACACAGAAAAAAGCAAACATCCAAAAAGGAAAAGAAATCAAGCCAAAGTAATTAGACTTTTAAACTCATGAGAAAAGGAGATATTCACTAAAACACAGTAATAGCAAACTGATTAATTATAGGGAACAAACAACTACAAAGGGCTAGGAAAAACAGATATTGGACTATAAAACAATTACTTATTTGCCAGATCCAGGATGGAAGAACCCAATCACAAAAAAGCAGGATTTAAACACCATACAACAATCACACACACGAATCAAAGGATTCACATGCCAAATCAAAAGAATTTCAAAAGACTTTAAAGGGTCACATAGAAAAATCAAAAGAACTTTTAGGATATAAAAAAGTTTTTTTCTTACAGCTCAAACAGGCTAGCCTCAGAATGCTATGCTTGTATTTGTTTCTTGCCTGCCTTCCTATAAATAAACTAATTCTGCTCTCAAGCAGCTGACCTCCAATCATTTGGAAGTCTCCCAGTCCGGAGTTTTGAATTCAAGAAGGGAAAGCTCTGCCTTCCAACAATCCTTAAAGGGAAAGGCTTCTTTTTCTTCCAACAGAAGAAAGTTAGCACCCACCCCTCTCCTAGAAGAATGAAATGTTTTAGGAAATATTAAAAAGGCAGAATAGTATGTTTCTCTGGATGAGAAAAGGAGAAATATGTTTTAAAGACAAAGCAGCTTCCTGCAGCTCCCTGCCCCCCCCCCACCTTCAGCTCCAGGGTGATGGGATTAACATGGTCCTCAGGACATGATAAGATTAGCTGTCTACCCATCTCATCACATGGCACCTGGGAAGATTCCATCACTCAGCAAGGCTCAACCAAGCTTGGGACATCACTACAGCCTACAAAGTTAGCTAAGACCTCCGCCCCATGGGAGTCTGATAACCAATCAGAATACAAACTCAAATTCAAAGCCCAACAGAGGGTATAAATCTCTCTCTCACCCATGTGCTTCCTTTTACCCAGGACCTCAAAACCACATAGTCCTGTCCACCATTAAACCATCTTTTCAAGCAGTCTCCATGTTTCCAGTGTCTTTCTCCCCACTTGGAACTGAACTCAGATGGACATTTCTTCCAACACCTTAAAACTGTTTCCTTTGCTTTTTGTTCCTTCGTTTGGTGGGTATCATCCCTTGGGACATTTTACAAACCCAAGGGGGAATTTTCAAAGGCAACTGAAAAGCAGTTGGAGGTAACAATTATAAAGGAATGTTGCCCTGTGATCTACTTGGTAGTTATTGGAGACATAATTGTTATGGAAAATAAGATGAATAATAGTTACATATTAATTTTATTTAGCTATGCTGTTTTACTATGAGACACTATGGAACGAGCAGGAGAGTATTAACACTTTTGAACTTGGGTGTTGGAGAAGACTCGTGAGAATAGTGTGGACAAGAAAATGGATCATCAAACACATTGAGTTCTCATTGGAGGCACAATTGACTAACCTCAAATTGTCCTACTTTGGACACATGAAGACTCAGTTTTCTGGAAAAGGCTCTAATGTTGGAAAGGTTGAAGGAAAGAGAAGATGACGACCAGCAGTAAGTTAAATAGACTTTTTTTTTTAAAAAAAAATTGATTTATATGCCGCCCTTCTCCAGAGACTCAGGGCGGCTTACAGTGGGTTAAGCAATAGCCTTCATACTTTTGTATATTTTATATAGTCAGTTTATTGCCCCCACAAACTGGGTCCTCAATTTACCTACCTTAGAAAGGATGGAAGGCTGAGTCAACCTTGAGCCTGGCAAGATTCGAACTTACTTTAATTGCAGACAGCTGGTGTTAAATTACAGTGCCTTGTCTGCAGAGCTATCCAGGCCTCTGATGTGGTAGTGATAAGTGCACTATTAGAAGACCTGAAGGATCAGGTTAGGGACAGATTGTCATTTTTTAAAAAATCTACGTGGTCACTAGGAGTTAAACACAACTTGATGGCAGATAAGAGTCTATTTCTCTCCAAAATCAGTTTTTACAGCAACAATATAATCTGCCTTGAAGTGGATTACAGATTTGTTTAGCCCAAAAATTGGCGTGAAAAGATTAATTTTTGAAAATCAATGTTAAATTTAAATTATAGCCAAGCTATTTCAAAATGTATGCTGCAGTTTCTTCCGTTAATGCTTTAAATGTTAATAAATCATGAAGAGATTAAAGTACATATTTGTATTTGCTAAACTGACCCACCCCATTTCTTGGGAGAACCAACTCTGAATCATATGGGACTCCACCTGTTAGGAGGGCAGGATGGTAGACTTTTTCCAGCTTTATAAAGTCAAGACACTCCCATACTATAGTAGTGTGATTATTTTTTTCTTCTTCCCCATGACTATTTAAACAGACACACCCACACACTGATACAAAATATATTTACCCAGTTCTTAGAAGCTGAAGAAATATCATTGCTCAGTCTAGAGTGAAAAGTCATTCTCCAGGTAGAGAAAAATTGCCATGGCTGCAAATTTAATTCACATATTACAGTAGACAGTTGCCAACTATATGTAGTCTATTGTGAGGAATGAATACTTGATAAAAAAAAATTAAGGGTGTGTGTAAGATCATGTTTCTTTTATAAAGAAGTGAAAATTGGATATGGCAGAAGAAACGTAATTTAAATGCAGTGGAAATGGGATACATAGGTGTGGAATAAAATAGGTAGGGTCAAGGATGATTGGGTTGAATAAATGAGAATTGACCAAATGCATGAGTGCCAAAGAAACACAATGGGATGTTTTTGTCATATTATAGTGTACAGTAATGAATGTAGTTTGATTGCAAAATACATGAAGAGCAAATAGGTGAAGAAACCTGATTGGGCAGATTTGACAAGATCCTGAAAAAGTGATGAGAAGTCTAAAGAACACAGATCAATATACAAAGTGAGTGAAATTATGGCTTGCAAGGCAGAAAGATATAGTGAATGAATTTAACCTGGTTGCTAAATGTGAAAGATGTAATGGATATGTACTTAAATGTCAACTGCTTTTCTCCTGGCAGGGCTCAGTACCTCTAATTGCATTTTCAGTGCTATTTATCTATTAAAGCCAGCAGGCAGGATCACCAGCAGCAAAAGTAGTTGGCAAACCTACTTACAGATCTATAGTTATCCTTGTTTACAATATTTTATCATAGCAGCAATAATAAAAATGAGAAGGAAACAGAAGCACACAAAATTTCACTTTAATCATACATTCATAACTGATTTTTGTTATCTTTTCAATATATTATTCAGAAAATATTTAAAATGAAGCTAATTGTGGAGGATTGCCAAGTTCCACTAACAATACAAAGATATGGGATTTGTTTAGTTCTATAAATACAAATAAAATATAAAATATATTTGTTTTAGTTATCCTACCAGCAGATAATTGGAAGCATCTTTGACCAGCTGACAAAATTATTTCAGCATACTGTTTCCCAGTATTTTTAGTTTCTTCCAGCTGTGCACAGTCTGGCTTCAAATGTTTGATGTCTATTACTCTCACAATTCCCACATGTGAACAATAGGCTGCCTGGGGATTCTGGGACATATAGGCTGAATGCTTGATTTAGGAATACTGGTTTATCCTTTTCCCGGCTTTTATTTTTATAGCTATCTGTCAGAACTTGAAATTGGGTTTGATTGCTAAGGTGAGCAAATACAATCTAAGTGCCATTGGTCAGTGAGCTGTTTATTTCCATTTCTTATCTGAGTAAGTCAGTCTGTATAGCATACATCATTTTCTCTTTGACATAGCTGATTTCTGGAGAGGAGATAGGGCAGTAAGGCATAATATCCAGATGAAAAAAAGCAGTATCACTGAAGGAAGGCCCATAGGAAATGTCAATCTCAGGTTGCCGAAAAAATACACTCTGTTTAAGCACAAAGACAAAACAAGAAGGTTACTGTTGACTTGCTCAGCATGTGCAGTCTGTTCTCAAGTAATTTTTCCTGGGTACTGTTAACATGGTCCTGGCACCCTAGAACGTACAATTCAGTGAATGGACTGTACTTATAAAAAATATGCCACAAGGAAATTCTTTTGCTTAAGAGAATACATTTGGAAATTTGAGAGGATGTTATTAGTGCATTCATAAAACAACGGCAATGTTGTGGCCAATAACCGCCATTTTACTAAAAGAGAAAGTGGTGGCTTTTGAGTCTTGATCTTGTTGCTCCTTTAAGCTCCCCTTTATTTCTGCCAGAATGATCCCTAGTATCCAATTACATTTTTTCTAAGTTGATGTTCTAGTTATGCAGATCCAATAAAGCTCATATGGAATAAAATTTGTAAGGGCAGAATTAAAAAAAAACCCTGAACATAAACTTGGAGTACTTCTGTGAAAAATGTATTACTTAGATAATATTTACAGACTTTTATTTTGATCAAGGACTATGATTTCCAAGTTTCGAATTCTAATTTCTAACTTCCCATTTGCTGTTAATGTACCGTTACATGGAATTGGATGCATCTGCAAAAGAGTAATTATCCAGCAGAGTCTAGATCATTGCTAATTTTATTAATGTCCATAATATATAAATAGTTCGGCAACAAGTGTTAAACACTCCCTATCCAACTCAAACAGTACAGCTCAAAGACCTTTGTCCAAAGGGAGATATGTACATGTAGTCCTTGACTTATGACCATGAGCCCAAAATTTCAGTTGCTAAGCGAGATAGTTAACTGAGTTTTGCCCCATTTTACAACCTTTGTTTCCACAGTTGTTAAGTGAATCACTGCTGTTAAGTTAGTAACCTGATTATTACCTGAATCTGGCTTCCCCATTGACTTGTCAGGTGGTCACAAAAGGTGAAGGCATGACCTTGGGACACTGCATCTGTCACGTGTCAGTTGCCAAGTACCCAAATTTTGATCACATGACCATGCTGCAACAGTCATGTGAGAAATGGTCATAAGTCACTTTTTCAGTGCCATTGTAACTTTGAATGGTCACTAAACAAACAGTTGAAAGTTGAGGACTGCCTGTAGATTTTGCTTTCATTGGTGTATTCATTCTATCTAGACCAGGGCTGTCAAACTCACGGCCTGTGGGCCCGATGCATCACTCGCTGGCCATGTCCACGCCTGATTTGGCAAAGGGGAGAAGAGTCATGATATGTCATGTGACATCGCCATGAGGACGTGAGTTTGACACCCCTGATCTAGACTCTGCTGGATAATTACTCTTTTGCAGATGCATCCAGTTCCATGTAACAGTACACTAACAGCAAATGGGAAGTTAGGAATTAGAATTCAAACTTGGAAGTTATAGTCCTTGATCAAAATAAAAGTTTGTAAATATTATCTAAGTAATACATTTTTCATGTTTATGTTCAGGGTTTTTTTAAAAATTCTGCCCTTACCAAGGTCAACCACAATTCATGGGGATTACTTGAATCCATTTCCAAATGCTAGGCTGGTGCCATGTCTTTTTACTTATCTAAAAACTTTACCAGACCTATTTGGTTTATAAGATGATAAAGATGAAGTTTAAAGATGAAGTTGGAATTTACACCATGCAAACATCTCCTGTCAGAAACTGCTGAGAAGGGTAGAGAACATAATCTTCCAACATCCCCATACTACTAATCTAGAGTAGTTCTAAAAATGCATTTTCCCCCCCAAACACTTAAGGGCTAAGGTTGTCATCTAGATCAGGGATCCCCAACCTCTGGGTTGCAAGCTGTTTGCAACTGGCCACGAAAACAGTGGATGAGTGTGTGTGTGTGCACCTCCACGTACACAAGTAGTAGGCAAGCGCATGCATGTGCGCTCTATTTGCATGAATGCGGCTTGCCAATCGGAACCATCCTCTCCCCCCCCCCAACAATCCACAAAGTTGGAAAGTTGGAGAACTTTGAGCTAAACTACTACACTGGAAACTAAGGTTTCTAATTCTGTATATCTCTATCTATCTGAGAATAAGTTTGATCAAACTCAGTGGGATTTACTTATCAATGAATAAATGGACAATTATTCAGAGGCTCATCTGTATTAAAGCTATTATACCTGGGCTCCAGGAACAAAAACATATTTTGGAACTATTCAGTTCCCACCAGGGGTGAAATCCAGCAGTTCTGACAGGTTCTGGAGAACCGGTAGCGGAAATTTTGAGTAGTTTGGAGAACTGGCAGATACCACCTCTGGCTGGCACCAGTATGGGGTGGGAATGGAGATTTTGCAATATCCTTCCCCCAGGAGTGGGGAGAGAATGGGGATTTTGCAGTATTCTTCCCCTGGAATGGGGTGGGAATGAAGATTTTGCAGTATCCTTCCCCTGCCATGCCTACCAAGCCACACCCACAGAACCGGTAGTAAAAAAAATTGGATTTCACCACTGGTTCCCACCTAAATGGTTCCACTGCAGATCAGGTAGCATTATGTCTTTCTCTCTTTAGCACTGGGTACAGCCTTTAACTTTGCATTTACAATCTTCATCCTTCAATAATATCTGAATTGAATATGTCATATATTTCATTTTCTTATGCAGGCCAGTCTATTTGAGCAAGGTAATTTAAAATTAGTTATCTATGGCAATGGAAAGCATTACATGAATACAGTTGTCTGAAAATGGGAAACTGGTCCAAAGTCAGAAATAAATTGGTCAGCTGAGAAATGGGCGGTGGAGGGAACTACATGAGATGTTTGCATTTTGGTAGCGAAGACTATTTTTCCATCGAACAGACTCAACATATTCTGCTTTTAGAAAAAAAGAAGTATTTAAAGAAACATCTATATTCACCTATAGCCAAAGCAATCTGAAATAGTGCAACATTGGCCTTTTTTTCCTTTTGTAGCAAAGTTACTACTTAAAGAGCGCAATGACAATAGTATTATAATTACACTTCTGCAGTTTGCAGCTGGATCACTGAATCAAATTCTTATCCCTCCTTTAAAAAACTTTATATGTGGAAAAAGTTTAAGAATTACAAAAATGCTTAGGTTTTTTTCATTGTACAATTGCTGTGTATCACTCTCAGCATTTCACAGAAACCCTCCTTCATTCTATAAATTGTTTTTGTTTGATATTATTAAAGGCTCAATTGCTTCTGCATGCAAAATTCCTAGCACTCCAGTCAAAAAGCGATTGTGCAGCTGTGTTATCTTTTCCTTCCCTACAACTTTTTTTCTGAAAAAAGTGGAAGAAGCAGTAGTAAAACATTAGGATACAAATGGAAAATATCTGAAGGCATTATTGTATACAGCTTCAGGTTTGAGTGGGAAGTAGATCTAACTTTCCAGTAATAAAATCACTAGGCACATTCATTGCAAAAAATTCCAGTTGCTTCCTGCTGGAATAACAAGAGCCTTACCATCCTGTGTGCACAAAACTATGCCCTCAGTGCAGGAGGGCGTTTGAACCAAGCAAATAAAAAGCACCCAACATTGGCATCAACCTGATTGGTGTCAGAGGTGTCAGTTTGGCTCTAGTATAGATCTGAAGTGTCTTTAGATCTGACCTTCTCTAAATTAATAAAGTTTTGCTGAAATCTGGCCTTTATGAGTGACTACAATTTGGAATGTGGCACTTTCCCATTATAAAAAGGTAAAGGTTCCCCTCGCACATATGTGCTAGTCGTTCCCGACTCTAGGGGGCAGTGCTCATTTCCGTTTCAAAGACAAAGAGCCAGTGCTGTCCACAGATATCTCTGTGGTCATGTGGCCAGCATGACTAAATGCCAAAGGCGCACAGAACGCTGTTACCTTCCCACCAAAGTGGTCCCTAATTTTCTACTTGCATTTTTTACGTGCTTTCGAACTGCTAGGTTGGCAGAAGCTGCGACAAGTAAGGGGAGCTCACCAGGGATGGGTTCTACTTTACTACTGGTTTGCAACGGGGCCGTGCACACAGAAGCTTCCTGATGACATCGGGGTCTGTGGGCGGAGCCTCCTGCCAGTTTTACTACCGGTTCTATAGAACCGATCCGAACCGGGACAACCCACCACTGGAGCTCACCCCGTTAACGCGGCACTAGGGATATGAACCGCTGAACTGCCGACCTTTCGATCGACAAGCTCAGCGTCTTAGCCACTGAGCCACCACATCCCTTTATAGAGTATCATTATTCCTATGACCAAGAATGTTTAAACTGTAGCCCTGTGAAATAGTGTTACATGCAGATACACAAAGACTACAGGTTCAGGAAGACAATTTGCCTGCACATATTTCATATATGATGTCTCCCCCCCTTCTACAAAAGGTGGGGGGCTTTTCTCTTAAAACTCATGAATTGGACTAGCAGATCACACCACAGAAATTAACAGGATTTCTTTTCCAGCTAAGAGTACTGTACATTCAGTTTAGCAAAAATCTCCCAAGTGACTATCCCTGCTGAGTCTTTTCCCCAAATTGCACCTAATCACAGCACAAAAACCACACTTTTTTGTCCAGTCTCCTTGACATTACTTTCATCTTATCCCCAGCCCACAAATAAGAAAGGCTCAAGACATTCTTAACTGTTCTGGAGTTGATAGCATTTTCTGCCTTATTCCAAGGGGGTTCAAGGACAACTTCAAGGTGTAGAAAATGTGTTGGGCTTATCTGAGAGGGAAGAAAGTGACTTGAAGAAGAAGCAGGATTCATTAGCAAAATAGTAAATTTTATGACAAAAAAAAAAAAAAAGACTAGGTATGAATGGGGAAAGGCCTGTAGCCTGCAAGTCTAGTATTAAATATATTAATTTTATTCCTCTTAAAAGAAATAATTAAAAGCAACATTTAAACAAACAAGAAGAAAAGAAGCAATCATTTGGGCCAAATTTTAACACAGGGCTAATCTCTGACTACACGAAATAATCCCTGTTTGTTCATATACCCTGCAGGCCCGTGTTGATCCTCAACTTCCCAAACTCTCCCAGGACCTCTTTTTTAGGTTCTCCCCTAAATATAATTTAAGTTCAACATTCTTGGATTTGAAGGGTTTTCTCCAAATAAACATCGAAGCGGCTGCGCTCAAGGCAACAAAGAGGCTGGAAAGGCTGGAAAAACCAACGTATTTGTAACTCCAGAAACTTATATGAGGGGTTTTTTTGGGGGGGGGGGCAGGCGATTCCACATCATTTTGCCCGAGCTCGAAGCAAACTTTTGCCAAAGCACCGGGCGCAGGAAATGCAGCTTCTCCCCCCCCCCCGCATTTCTCTCTGCGCTCCCGGGCCATCCTTTTCCTCCCTCGATCGGTGTGCGTGGCAGTCACCCTTCCCACCCTTGCGTTATGGAACTCGGGAGGCGGCGCTCGCCGTTGGGCAGGGCGGAGATGAAGCCCGCCTGAATTCCATGCCTTCCCCTCCCGTCTCTCCGTGCCGAAATTGAATGGAGTAGCAGACCCTTCTCCCAGCTCCAGCCGCTTTCCTTCTCGCGCGGGCCTTCCAAGCGCGCCTCAGGGAAGCCTCCCATCTCGCTCCGACGCCTTCAGGGTACAAGGGCGCCTCCGCTCAGTTTAGCATGTCATCCTCCGCGGCCAAACAAAGGAGCGGCAAGAACAGCGGCAACCCCGCTTCTTCCGAAAAGGGGGCCCATTCCAACCAACCCGATGACGTGGCGAAGAAGCAGTCGACGCCGCCGCCGCCCCCGGCCCACTCCAAAAGCAGCAAAGGGGGCTCTCCGCCGTCTGGCGGGGGCAAAGCTGCCTCGTCCTGCAGTTGCGGCGCCATCCTGAACTTTCTCCTGTCCGTGACTTTCTTGGCAGCCGCTGCGGCCTCGGGCTACTACGTCCATCACCTTCTGGGGGAAGTCAACCAGATCAGCCTGAGGCAGGAAAGCTTCGCCAAGCAGCGGGAAGAGCTGGCCAGTTCCTTGGAAGGCGCCGTGCAAAAGGTTAGTTGGGGAGGATAATAAAGAAAGAAATATTTCTTGCCCGGGGAAGGCCGAGGGCAGCCCTTTCAAGGCTGCCGAGAAGGAGCGTGTATGTGGGGAGTGGAAAGTCGGAAGCCACCCATCATTTGCCCCCGTTTTTTTATTTATTTATTTATTTAATTGCTCCGAGCAGTGCGGCGATATTTCGCCTTGCTTGAAACGCCGCCAAATTTGCTCGCCTGAAGCAAAGCGCAGAAGAGGAAGGCTTTGCATCTCCAAGCGGGTTGCACTTGAATGTTTTATCTTGCCGCGGAGGAAGGTGGAGAAGTCTTGCTGATGGGCTCCTTCTTGTTATTGGGGTTGAGAGTGGCGGGATTTGCTTTTGCCAGGTCAAAGAAAAAAAGCAGATTTTCCTCCCAAGGAGCTTTTTTTTTTTTGCAAGCCACGTTTTAGCACGTGCGGTCCATGCGCCGCGAGCAATGCGCAGCATGGCGTTGCAGAGAATAGCCAGGCAATAAAGTTGAAGTCCTCGGGGAAAGAAAAACAACTGTTAAGGATTAACAATGGATTGTTTTCTGATCATTTGGAATGTTTTTTTTTTTTTTTAGTCTTTGCCAGACAGTATGGCCGAGGGCGAGAGATAATGGACTTCAGAGGTTCGTGCAGTTGGGGGGTGGGTGGGTGGGTCGCTGCATTTTCTGGTTTTTCCTGTTTGCAAGTAGAAAATCGGATAGTAAAAAAAATATATAAGTTTTCTCAGAGCCTTTGGGAATTTGCCTCAGAGTTGCAGCCAAAGAAGTCTTGTCAACTAACCCAACGGGGCCTAAGTTTTTCTGAGCCATAACACTCACTTGAATCTTGACAACAAAAGTTAAAGTTGCAGTGTTTGCAATAAGTACTTTCAGCTGGGTGAGGATGCCTTAATAAGATAATTGAATGCTTATTCCCCTTTTCCCAAAATGGTGCCCTTGGGAGTTATTGGACCAATTCCAATACTTAGCTTTATTGAGTGGAGATTACAGGAAATTGAAATCCATTAACTCGGGAGTGGCCGGTTTTGTATAAAGTGGATTAGAATATGAATTTACTCTTAACTATATGGATATTTATTTTAATTAAATACACATTTAACTTTTTTTTTTAAGAGGAACTCTCCAAGATTTCTATGAACAAATTGCAGATTGCGCAGCAAAGCTATAGAGGAAGTTTGTGGACCACAGATTGCTCTGTTCAGTAAAGTTTCATCTTTAAGTAATCTAAGGCAGTGATTCTTTTGAGGTGCTGGATTTACAGTAATTGGCTTCTAAACTTCTGCTCAAAGGCCACTAGGAATTGTAGTTTTGGGAGGAGGAGAGCATAGCTTCATGGTTAAAGGAAAAGTATACACTCCCACGCAGGCAAAGTACAGACATGGGCCAAATTTTCTGTACAGTATGGGTTTATATTGGCTGTGAAAGTGAATGTGATTGTATTTACCTTCTATATCTCCTACAAAGCAATATGTTTATAATTGATATCAGCCATAATAATGTTGAACTAATGTCTTACTAGAGGCCAGAATGGCATTCAAAGCCTTACAACAGGGAAGTCTATAGCATATCCCATTGCTCTTTTTTTAAAATTTAAATTTCTATACCGCCCTTCTCCCGAAGGACTCAGGGCGGTGTACAGCCAAGATAAAACCCACAAATATAAAAGTTAAAAGCAAATTAAAAGTATTAAATAATTTGGCCGAAACTAAAATAACATAAAACAACCCATTAAAATTACATTTAGGCCAGTCTTGCCTGCTGAAACAAAAGCGTTTTGAGGGCGCGGCGGAAGGTCGGGAATCATTCCATAGGGCAGGTGCCCCCACAGAGAAGGCTCTCCCCCTGGGGGTCGCCAGTCGACACTGTTTGGCCGACGGCACCCTTTAATAAAGGAAAGACATTGCCCACAATATTACAGTATAAGCCACCTTGGTTATTGGATGAATAGAAATTAAATTAAATTAAAAACAAATTAAAACTATGCTTTTCAGTTTAGATTACTTGGTGGAAAATAAGATTGTGTGGTTTGGTAATATTTATGTTTTGCAACAGAAAAGCATCCTGAGTACATAGATGTAGCAATTGTTGAAATTACAAATGCAATCGTTGCATAATTAAAGAGATACCATATCTAATAATATGGACAACCAGCAAATAGAAGGAAAAGTTAGTTTCCTGTGTCCCTGTGCTGCCATCTAGAGGTGGTTATGGTTTTTCAGCCCAGATTTTGTAATCCTAATGTTGAAATACTTTCACTGTACTGTAACATGTGTCTTTCATGCATATTCCATGTGAATCTGCAGTACAAAATCTATCTATTGGTACAAAATCGGATTATGAACATTTTAGACTCCATTTCAAAAAAGGCAGTTTTTTATTTTTCTATTGCTTTTTATTTTCATCAAAATCTTTGATAATGGAAGTTGGTTGTTATAAAAGAATACAAGTCTGGCAGGAATACAAATAATGTCACAAGTCGAAAGCTATTAAAGCTTTTAATCAGATCACTAAACCATCTTATATTATATATATATATATATATATATATATATATATATATATATATATATATATATATTTTTAAGTATTTTGATGTATCATGTTGTCCGATGTCTTAGTTACTGACCTTCCTATGTAGAAAATGATCCATTTCACTATGCTAACCTTAATTTATTTCTATCTTTCAATTTCTTTTGTAGATGCAGTCTTTACAGTCTGCTTTTGGTGGCTTTGAATTGACATTGAAAAATGCTCAGCAAAAACAAGAGATCACCGAGAAAACTGTTAGACAAGGGGAGAGTGAAATCAGTCGCATTGGTGAAGTTCTCCAGAAACTACAAAATGAAATCCTTAAAGATTTGTCTGATGGTATTCATGTTGTAAAAGATGCCAGAGAAAGAGACTTCACGTCATTAGAAAACACTGTGGAAGAAAGGCTGACAGAGCTCACAAGATCTATAAATGATAATATTGCTGAATTCACACATATCCAGAAACAGAGCCAAGACGAAATCAATGAAGTTAAAAAAAAGGTGGCTTCACTTGGTGAAACAGAAACATACAAACATGACCTTCAGGTCTTGAAAGACACCGTTGATGAGATGCAGAGATCCTTGAAAGCCAAAGCGAAGACTATAGAAACCTTGCAAAGTACCATAGATTTGATGGAATCTGATGTTCTGTCTGAAGTTAAAGCACTTGTCAATCTCAAGCAGGAACACGATAAGTTTAAAGAAGTAGCTGATACAGAGCACCTTTCATTACAGACTTTAGAAGAGAAAGTCCTTAAAGCAGAAGAATATCTTTCTCATCTTCCATTGGAGCTGAAGAAACTCAGTGATGGCTTGATGCACATCAAGTCTTCTGATGATATACAAGGTAGCTATGCATTCTCCAAAGATGACATAGAAAGTCTGCAGAAGAGCAATAAAGAATTGGAATCCAGGCTCAGGTCCATAGAAGAGAATGTTCAGGCTCCGACATCATCATTTGCACAGAACACAGAAGGAATAGAACCTTCTATTTTCAAATATGACACTAAGCTAGCTGCGTTAGAAGAAGGTCTAGGTTCTGTCCAGAGTACTATAGAAAATGATATACGATCATTGACCGATACTGTGAGGAGTCTTGGGGAAGCACAGCTCTCAATCTTCGGTGATGTTGATGAACTAAGGAGAAGTCTGAATGATCTACCAAATAATGCTGATGCACTCGATCATATCCAGAAACAAGTTCTTGCTTTGCTGGACCAGGAAAAGTCTTCAGTGAATATAGGGCAGTCTGGAGATAATAAGGCAGAACTCTCTTCTGTTAAAGATTCTGTTGATGACGTGCGAGTTTCTCTTGGTCAGGTAGAATCGGACGTAAAAATGCTTAGGACAGCAGTTGACAGTTTAGTTGCTTACTCAGTGAAAATCGAAACCAATGAGAACAATGTGCAGACAATGAAGGATTCCTTAGATGACATAAGGAATGACTTGGACAGGTTGTTTGTTAAAATGGAAGATATCCATGAAATGGTTTGAGTATTGAGCATGTTTTAACTCTGAAGTACAAAAAAAGAAATTGTTTTCCTAGTCCAAAGGAGTTTTGTTGTTGGGGAAGTTTGTGGAATGGAAATTGAGCTATTGATATCTCTGGAAAAAATGTTAAAACAATCCAGTTAGGTAGGTCCTGTAATTTCTACTATTTTAATTGCTAGGACAAATTAATTTGTTTCTGCAGCTTAATCTGTAGTACACTGGGCAAGGGTGTGGACCCAAGAAGCAAATTATGATGGTCATTGTCCTTTTAATTTAACAAACATGAGGGCAACATCATGCTCAAAAGCAGTCCCACTCCTTTGAAAACAAATCTATGTATGCATTATATTGCATAACTCAGTCTTCTACCATTGAAATAAAGCAGCCAATCATAGAAGGTTCTATGTATTAATTAAAATACACAAAGGGCTGTTATTATATATAATAAGAGTATTCATATGAAAATTATCGTATGGAATAATCACATTTGAGATTGGATTCTTCTATAATCCATGCTCATCAACATAGCCATTCCACAACAAAATCAATGTAGCCATTCCACAACAAAACTAAAGGTGCTTTTGATGTGTCCAGAGGCAGTAAACATTGGCAGTATTGGATAGAACTTTGCCATTATAGTAGTGCCTACTTTTGGGACAGTTTACTGTGATGTCAACTGAATTTGCATTTATCGTTTCTGTCCTAATTCATTGATGCAAAGATGTATGGAGTCAAGGTAGGGAAATGAAAACGGGTGGGGGAGGTAAACATGGAACATACCTTCCCCCACAAAGAACAAAGGGCAATAAAAACAGAATTGTTTACTGCATTTAACATTTTCCTTGTGATATATCAAGATGCAACAGTGACATCCAGTCTTAAGTGCCTTACAGTCTTCCTATTATTGACTTGGATGAAACAAAATTAGATTTGAGATTGATTATTTAAAAAGTCCAATACATTAAAAACTACCTTTGGATTTGAGTAATTCTTCAAAGAAGAGATATTCATAACGTTCATTTTACAGAACCACTGAGTTTTACAGTTGGGTAGATTCTTGTTTATCTTCTTTAGAAAATATGGCCCTGGTTGTTCTGTTGATTTATACATAATTGTTGAGAAAGATAAACAGAAGACGACTGTACAAAGAATGCTCGTAGCATCAGTAGTAGAGGCAACAGGTAATCCTCAGGAGGAGAAGCAGACAAGGTGTGCAGTAGCCATTTATAACATAAGCAGTGTATTTAGTAACTGCTTCTGTAGAGATACAATGCCTTAAAAACCAGAACTATGCCTTGTATTGAGATCAAGTCATTATTTTTCGGGAGTGCTTTTATTGTCTTTTTTGTGAATCTTGAATGACTGTAGTTGGCTGTGAAATAATTTTCTTGGTATGTGTAATTTGAATAAATACTTATTCTGGTTGTAGTCAACCATTTTTTCTAGTTTTGAGGAAAACAGAGTAATTGCATAAGTTATATTATTAGTTTCTTTGAGTCCTTAAGTTTTGCTTAATAAATAGCTGCTACTATTGAAACTGTCATGGACTCAGTTGGGATTCATGCATCTATTGCTACTCACCATTCTTTTACGTTATTTGTCTGCAAAGCGGCATTACATATAGCTAGACCCAAAGCAATAACATTTTTATAATACAAGAATAGGTTGCATTAATCTTTTCTGCAGATTTATTATTCTGAAAAAATAAATATAATACAATATTATATTAGAATATAAAGTATTTTATATACACAGTACATCTAGTTGTGGGATGGATTAGTTAGCTAGTAAAAGGGTGAATGAAATACAGAAAATCAGTTCAAGGCAGTTCACACATTGAGCTAAATTATGGCATATTTTTAAAAACTTCAGGTTTATATGTTTGGTGAACATTGTGCATTTGACCATAGTTTATGGCTCAGTGTGAATGAGGCCTCCTTGGCTTGTTTAAAACTGCTTAAAATAAAACCTGGCTTAATAAGAAATGTGAATCCAGATATTTAGTCATGTATACCAGCCACTCATAAAACAGCTTTCATTTAGCTAAAGAGGAGTTATTGTACTCTACATTCCAGTATTTAAAATACAGGTATTCCTCGACTTTATGACCATAATTGAGCCCAAAATTTCTGTTAAGTGAAACCTCTCTAAGTGGTTTACAGAGTCAGCATATTTCTCCCAACAATCTGGGTCCTCATTTTACCGACCTCAGAAGGATGGAAGGTTGAGTCAACCTTGAACCTGTGAAGATCGAACTCTTGCCTGTGGGCAGAGTTAGCCTGCAACACTGCCTTCTAACCACTGTGCCACCACGCTTCCTATGAAAAAAGAACATTTATATTTCCTGAACGAAGGAAATCATTCTAGGTGTAAAATGCAAGTTTTCCTAAATCCATTATCTTGGTTCTAAAACAATTCTGGCGACTAAAATTTCTTTTGGTATTTTGCTATTTTTCTAGGAATTCAAAATGAAGCTACTGGTATCCAGTCTGAATTTCCATGGTTGAGAGTTGATTTGACCTGGGACTCCAAAGTCTAAGTCCAACATTTTAACCACTACAACAAACTGAATTTTTTGGCAAATGTATAAAGTATGTATTTTAAAATAGGAAAGGAAACTAATAGTGCCTTCCTACAAAATAACCATATGGCATGGGAGAGGCGGCAGGGGATCCTTGATTTATGAAAGTGGCTGAAACCAGACTCCTTTTTATATAGAACGTGTTTATCGCTATTTTGATGTTTTTTATTGTCCCTCATGGATACCCCTGAAAGCAATGGTGGCATATAGAAAGTGGAGAAATCTAAAATTAAAACGAAAAGCAATGATTATTTAGGATCCTCTGTTCTTTCAACTTTTTTATTTTATTTAGCTGAATTACAATTTTTTAAAATTAGCCTGCAACTGAAAGTAAGCCCTATTGTTGAGTCTTGCATATGGTTAGAGCATGTGTGGCTGAGCGTTAGCCATGGGGTCCTTGTTCTCTGATAGTTTTCTTGCAGACGTTTCATTATAACATCATCAGTGCATTAGCTATGTCAGTTGTGTGATGTTTATATCACACAGTGGGAGAATATTATGTGAGGCTGTTATCCAGGCTACTTGAGTAACAGTGGAAACGGTGTTAGTAATATTAAAAATGAAAAGATAAAAAATAATAGAAACAAAAGATAGATGAAGAAAGTGCATCTATAAAAATGAAATCAATTAGCATAGTAAGCATAATAACAGTTTGCTTGATTCTAGATGAATTGGAATGTTTTAATTACGGCCAAAATTATTTAATTATTTTAAACAGATTTTAGATTTTGTATGTTTTGTATGTATGTCTTGTTTTTACTTTGGCTGTTCACCGCCCTGAGTCCTACATTGGAGAAGGGCGGTATAGAAATTTAAACAAATAAATAAATAAATAAATAAATGAAAGTAAAGTGACTTAACTATTGGTATGAAACCATAGTTTAATGCGTTAGCAATGAGCAAGTTCGGCCAGTTGTGGTTTATGTAATAAACTATGTTTCAGTACAATGTGAAAAACATGGAACGGTACAGTATTTCTTAAAATGGTAAAAGCTACAATCTTAACATAAGCTTTCTTGGGTCTCAGGCACAAAGAACTCATTGGCCTTAGTATTAGATTGGGGTGTCAAACTCAAGGCCCAGGGACCGGATCCAGCCCATGGGGTGCTTAGATCAGGCCCGTGGGGCTGCTCTGGAAGCAGCAAAGGACCAGCCCACAGTGTTTCTGCCAGTGAAAAGGGAGCTCAGGTGGCCCTCCTGAGCTCCCTTTTCGTTGGCAGAGGATTGGAGGAAGCCATTGCTGCTGAAAACGGAGTTCAGGAGCCCATTTTTGCTGGCAGAGCGCTCGGGCCACCACAGGTGCCCCCAACACGAGTGATGAGCTGGCCACGCCCATCCTGGCCATGCCCATCCTCCCCCCCCCCCCCCACCGAGGTCAAACACAACCCTGATGCGGCCCTCAACAAAATAGAGTTTTGACACCCCTGTGCTTTTAATCCTGAGTCAAGAATGAGACACAACATGGAAGTGTATGGATTCAAACTATAATAGAGTTGATCCCATTGCATGCAAGAATCCAGATTAAATCATCATTGTCAAGATTGATATCTGGTCTTGATTTGAAAACATCCTGTAAATACATTACATTCCACCATTTTGGATAATTGCAAACATTTGTCTTCATATTCACAGTAACACTAATATGCTAACACATTAATACATTGCAATTATGTGTGGTGCGCATCGACACATCAGTATGAAAGCCAGTTTGGTCTGGTGGTTAAGACACCCGGCTAGAAACCAGGAGACTGAGTTCCAGTCCCGCCTTAGGCATGAAAAACCGGCTGGGTGACTTTGGGCCAGTCATTGTCTCTTAACCCAACTCAACTCTTAGGGTTGTTGTGGGGAAAACAGGAGGAGGAAGGAGTGTTAGGTATGTTTGCTGCCTTGAGCTATTTATAAAAATAATAAACGCAGGATAAAAATAAATAAGGCACTTTCAAAATAACATGGTGATACACATCATATGCATTAATATCACATTGACTTACATTAATATCTTTGAACGTCTTCTAATTCCTCCTGTGAGGAGAAGAACATTGCAAGAGTCTATTATCAAAGTTTTACCATAAAGTATTGACCTACATGAAATTGGTTTCCGGGTCTGGTCTTCCTTGAAGGGCTAACAGTAGAGATGAACAAGCACAACCTCAGTGCTACCTGTGCCCCTCAATATCTTTTACCATAGTACAGAAGGGAAAGTCTCCAGTTCAAGGATGTCTTCAGAGATACTAGGTTCTTGGCTTTAATTAGTAAATCTCAGGAACCACGTGATCCTGATCATCTGAGCTGTGAGCTCCCAGAGAATTTAACACTGGAACAGTTGGACACTGTCATCTAGTGAGAATGTATGGTAATGCTACCTAGAATTGCTTCTCAAAACAAGGTTCAGAGTTTGATTCCTAATATTCCATAAAGAACATTATTTTCTGTCGAGTATAAACCCGAATTTATGAAAGTATTAAAAACTGAACAGGAGAAAAAAAAACTGACCAGAGCTGAGGAGGCTTGGAAAAAATCATATTCAAACAGATTAAGAGTGAAAATATTTTTGTTTTACAACACACTATTTTTAAGCGCAGGGAAGAAAACAATAGCATTCTACATGTGTCCAACCAGAGGTGGGTTTCAGCAGGTTCTGACCAGTTCTGGAGAACCGGTTGCAGAAATTCTGAGTAGTTTGGAGAACCGGTAAATACCATCTCTGACTGGACCCACCTCCATCTATTCTCTGCCTCCCGGGTCCCAGCTGATTGGGAGGAAATGGGGATTTTGCAGTAACCTTCCCCTGGAGAGGGGAGGGAATGGCGATTTTACAGTATCCTTCCCCTGCCACATCCACCATGCCACGCTCACCAAGCCATGCCATGCCATGCCACGCCCACCAAGCCACGGCCACAGAACTGGTAGTAAAAATTTTTGAATCCCATCACTGTGTCCAACTTCAGTTTTATATATTTATATATTGATAAATTGGTATATAATTACTATGCTCTATGGATCTATTATATTCGCAATTGATTTCAGATGCAAAATTAAACTTGACCAGACACTGATGAGCACTTTTGGTCAGTAAACCATGCAATTTGAAGATCCCTTGTTAGTCACTGCCAACTCAGTCCCTACTGGTATATGCATGAAGCTTGCATTTATTTTTGCTTCAGAAAGCCCAGATTAACACTTGTTGCCATTGAATTGTGTTTGCCACCTGAAAAAGCTGTTTATCCATTTTGGACACATTCTTTCAGACCCCTAGTTGGCACTTGATTTTCAATTTTACCCACCCAAATAATTTGATGTTAGACTTGGCTGGATCACTGCCCACTTCCTGTAAATCAGTTATTAACAGATTAAGTGTGGACCAACCAAGGTAAGGAAAGAAGGCAGAATGAGACTTCTGGAGTTATTTCCAACCCTTGTGACAGCAATGAGCATTTACTGTAGGTATCAATATTGTATTTTCTTTTGCATACAGATAATCCTGACTTAACGACGATTCCATAGTTATGACAGTGATTTTAAAAAAAGTAATTTTTTTAACCAATCCTTGCATTAATGACCTTTGCAGGTCTGTAAAGCCAAGGAAACCTGAAGTAACATCCTAAGCACAGTTACAGTTTCTCTTAGTGATCTCTTCACATAACACCAAGTTGACAGTCACAATTGTGGTTGCTAAACGAGAACTCCCTGTAATGAAGTAATGTGTCAGGCCTGTGTGTCTGTGTGTTTAAGCTCTGTTTTGGGCATGTGTAACAGAATGGGACAATTTGCAACAGCCAACTCACCACGGAAGAATTCCATTTTGTCACTGGAAATAATGTCAAATGTGGATGACATTTATCGTGTTGAGTTATTCCACATGGAATTGTCCCATGGTGAGATAGAGGCATCAGGTTGGCTGAGGCGAAATGGCTGTTGTTGGCCGCGGCAAGATGGCTGCAGCAAGATGGCTGTGCCAAG